CTTGATCGTCGGCTAGGATATCCGCTATATATAGTAAAAGGAGAATAGGGGATAGTGGGGAGCCTTGTGGTAGCCCACAGGATAGAGGGAAATCCTCTGTAGTTGTATCCTCTAGCCTGACCCGGGCTGCTCGGCTAGAGGTAAAGGTGAAGATCAACCTAATCAGATGACTAGGCCAACCCTGCTGTCGTAGCCTGATAATAAGTCGGTTTCTTAGGACAGAGTCAAAAGCCCCTTTAACGTCCATTGTCACAAGAGTTGCAGTGAGCCCTGAGTCTAGAGCCCTATCGATCTCGTGGGTCAGACAGGCTGTTAGGTCGACTGCAGCCCTGCCTGGTAGTGCTCCAACCTGCTGTGGGCTAGCAACCCCTTCTAGGATAGTAAGGTAGGCCATCCTTTTTGCTATTAGCCGCTCTAGGCCTTTACCCAAGCAGGATAAAAGGGATATCGGTCTCCAAGACCCAGTCTTCGAGAAGTCTGTTTTCCCTGGCTTCTGGATCATGACAACTTCTGCTTTGCGGAACGGTCGAGGGAAGTGGCCTACTTGAATACAGGCCTGGAAGAGCTGCTGTATAGGCCTAGCTACTGATTCCCAGGTGTGTTGTAGTAACTTTGTAGTACTCCCGTCAATCCCAGGGGTTGTAGTCTTTGTTAGAGTAGCCTGGCGTACTTCTTCCATGCTGACCACATCCTGCCAGGGCATTAGACGCCGTGCAACTACTGGGATAGCGAAAGGGTCCCCAGGTAAGTCGTCTGTAGCGTTAAATCTCTCTAGTAAGGCCTTTCGTAGGGCCTGGGCTTTATCGTAGCTGTTGTCGATTGTCTGACCTTCCACTATAAGAGGCGGGCCTTTAACAGCTAAGCCAGCCTTCCGCCAGCCTACTATCTTATATAGGTCTTGGTCTGTCTTAGCCCCTTCGATCTTAGTAGTCCAGTAAGCGCGTTTTGCCCTTCTAACAGTTGTTAAGAAGATCTTTTGCTCCTCTAGGATGGGGGGAGGTATAACCAGCCCAGGTTCCTGGGCCTGCTGGCGCCTAGCCTCGATAGCAGCTCGGTGGGCTTCTGCACACTCTTCTGTTCACCAGGGGGCTCCCCTACCCTGATTTGTCCGTCTCTTACCTACAGCTTGAATAGCTGTATAGAAGAGGCTGACTAGTTGGGTAGCTAGAGTGTCCAGCTCTGCTGGACTAGGTACTTCCCCTAGGGTAGGTAAGGCTGAGGATCCAGCTCTTACTAGGTCGATAAGTCGGGGTAGGGCTGACTCTGGGACTGAGAGGTGGCCAGTCTGGCGTTTCTGTTCCTGGGCCTTGCCTATAGGGATAGTTGTTGTGATAGCTTGGTGGTCAGCCCCTGGGTGCAGGTGTGGGCTAATATAAGCCTCAGCAAAGGGGATATTTGAGAATGTTAGGTCGAGGGTATGCCTATGAGTATGGGTAGGGACCCCAACCTCCCCAATAAACGAAAGATCGTAGCCTTCAGCCCACTCTGCAATACCGTCCCCCCGATTCCGGCTAGGGGAGCCTGGTTCCCAGGTAGGGTGGCGGGCGTTAAAGTCCCCTGCTATAAGGGCTCTTTCTGGCGGATAGTATCCTAGGAGAGCAGTAGTCGTGTGGTTTGTCGGCTCACCTGGCGGCCTATATACGTTGATAATAGTGAAGTTGCCAGCCTTAACCCATAAGATATCTCTCGTTTGGGTAGGCCTTTGTTGCTGTATTTGTAGTCTTAGACTCTTGCGTATATAGGTCATAACCCTAGGTCTTGTATCTCTGTTGTTCCAGAAGTCAACTGGGATATAGGAGTTATAGCCTGGGTGCGTGTTGATTTGCATCTTATCTCTATAGCCTATCCAGGGCTCCTGGATCAGTACTATATCGATCTGATCCGCCCAGCAGAGCTCTAGGAGAGCTGTATGAGCTGGGCTTCTCTTCCCCACGTTACACTGGGCGACTCGTAGTACCCGTGGGGAGGCTGGCCTGAGCCTACTGCTCTGAGTCGAGGTCGAGGTGGGTGTAGGCATTAATAACGTTGTAATCAGGCTTCTGCGCCACCCGCTGAGCCCTGCTGCTTGAGGTAGCTAGGGTAGGTTGGCTGGGTAGGGGGGGTAGGACTGGGTCGTCAGGGGCTTGCAGCCCTTCTGCTTCAGCCCCATTCTCATCTTCATCCATGCTGCTACAGCTAGCCGCATCACTAACGTCCGCTACAACAATTGAGTCCTGGGTAGGGGTAGGGGCGCGTGGGCGCTTTGAGCCGGGCTGATGGCTCGTTAGGCTGTTGCTAGGTTGCTGGGTGTTGCTGGCTTGGGTGCCAGCCTGGCTGCTCTGATAGAGGGCCTCATAGGCCTTCTGACCAGCCTTACGGATCCGGGAGAGTTCCTTCCGGTCTGGGAGGGTAGGGGAGCCGTTAACCACTAGGGGCCTTGCTGGGCAGTCCTTGTGGTTAGCTTGGAAGGGGCCGCAGCAGTTGGCGCACTTCGGTCTAGCTATGCAGGGCCTAGTCTCATAGGAGCCTGAGGGCCTGCCGCAGTTGCCACAAAGTGGTTGCCGGTTGCAGTGCCGGTTTGAGTGATATCCCTGGCAACCAGGATCATGTCTGCTTAAGGTCTTCTTCCTTTAGATAAGCTGGGACCTACTGCTTTGGTTAAATAGTCTTAAGGGTGGTACTTCTGCGGAGAAGGAGATAACCCAGGAGACTTCGTTTATAATAGGTTAACGCCTAGTCGAGACTGTTGGGCCCGGATAGGCTTACGTCCTGTTTGTGCAAGGACCTCGTCTTCAAGCAGAGTAGCTGGGTCGAGGGCGTCTCCATCAATAGTCCATAGCTTAGCAGGGCAGCGTGGGACGACGTAAGTAAACCACCTAGTAGGGGTCTCAACCTTATAGGCCCCCAGACAGTCTGCCAGCTTCTCTTTGTTTATAAGGAGGGCTTACTGGACCTGCTTATTCAGGGGTCTCAGTGAGTAGCCAGTTACAATGTAGTATATATATAGGATATCCGCCAGCTAGAGCCCAAGAGCCTAGCAGATCGTCCAGCGTAGGGTAAAAGGGGCATACTTCCTAGCAGCCGCTAGACACTCTTCAGGGATACGGGTAAAGACTCGGAGGTCCTCCTTTGGTTAGGCCAGAGCCAGGGCCAGGGTCTGGGCCTGAGTCTGAGTCTGGCCTTAGGGCCGGGTTAGGTTTCGGGTACGGGCCGGGGCTGGGGCTAGGATTGCAGCAGGGTCTGAGGCCGCCACATCGGCCCAGTTCCGGCGCGGGGTCGGAGCCGCCGCCTCGCTACCCATAATCCTCTTCAAGGCTTGGATTACATAGCCTCCTTTGCGATCTGCTTCCTGGGCCCCTCGAAGCAGGACACCACGTTGTCCACAGACTGGGCGATAGCTACAAAGACGTCCTTCCGGGCTTCATAATGCTTCGCTTCTTCATTTAGGGCCGTAAGGACAGCTCCAGTAGCTGTCCCAGATGCAGTCGTAGGAGCCTTAGCCGTTAAGGGGGTTGTCGTATAGGCGTCAGGCTGGCTTCCCACGAGGCTGGGCCGGGGTGGCTGGGCCTCGGTACCGCGGCGGCGTTTCGCCCTAGAGGTTGAGGACGACTCCGGAGGGGGTTCAGAGCCTCGGTCAGGGCCGGCCGAGGAGGCCGGCAGCGGTCCAGAGTCCGCCGGAGGCTACGAGGCCATCGCGGGAGGGCGCTGGGTGAGAGAGGTGAAGGATCTTCAACTGTTAAGGGTTTTGGTGGTAGCCCACGTATTACACTAACAGTGGATGCCAAGAAAAATTAGGCGAGAGGGAAGTTGCTAGAAGCGTGGAGAGAATCACGGGAATCACCAACGAAACTTTCATACAAGCATCAGTAGTCAGCAAGCGACTCTTCTGGGCCCACGCTCAGAGGCTTCCTCGGAAGGCAACCCTCGTTTGGATACACCAGACCCCATGTATGTAGATAAAGTTCCAGACGGACTATGAGCATGAGCTGGCCTTGATAGGGGCATATCCTCTCTTAACGATACCTCAAACTTATCCTTGACTTCCATCGTCAGTTTAATCTACGTTCATTGGCTTCTTGGTCTCTGCTTCACGACCAACATCTTGATGTCGATAACAGCTGAAATGAATCAATATGGACGCATCTTTGTACTTTATGTTCTCAGAATTAAACAGGTCTCAGAGTCACCTACTTTCATCACAATAAATTCCATTAGCCCATGTTCGAATGAATGGTGCTGACTTTAGTTCTTTCAACAATCATTTGGGGTTCAAAATATGGTAAGGTAGTACATCAGACTCGACCCGCTATCTTGGCATCAGCTTCATGTTGCACCCTCGACTTTGTAAGTTATACGAGACCATGGGTGTGCTAGGATGTACACATTGTATTTAAAATGCTTAGTTTCATTGGCTTTGATAGACGAATCTGACGCAAAATGGCCTGACACGTTTTACAACGAACGAAAGGCTCACGCGTACAAAGCACCATACCCCGTAAAGTACGGCCATGGCATCCAAGTCTAGCCAGCTTTATTCTCATACCTGGCACAGTCAGACACGTGCAAGACTCTCTCTAAACTCCAGATATTTGTATTCCTCTAGAGAATTGAAGCAACGTAATACAGCTGCTACGTTTGGGTCCAGTCTCAACGCGCAAAGCGTACATGTAGTCACACATGAGAACAGCTCGGGATGTAAAAGTAATCACCAGGCTTCCTAGAGGGTCAGCAATGTTTCAAAATCCATGAATCTTCCAATTCTTGCTTGTTCTCGGCTCTTCGAGCGACGAGAACTGGGGACTAGTCAGTACTTGTGTGAAGGGAAGGACTACCCCATTTCGACATACATTGCATTACATACTCTTAGCTCAATATTTGACTGTTTGATTCCCTCGATTCCATCAATCCTCGTTCTTCCGTCGGTTCTCTGTTGCGATCATCCGGTTCTACTCCCATTCTCTCTTATGACAACGGGCTTGAGGTTTTACGCCCTCCTTCGTGTCGGGGAAGAAAATCACATCATGGACTCCACAGGCCCCGAGGCTTACGTTCCTGATGCCCCCGAGGCCTGTATTCCTGAAGAAACCACCAAAAAGCTGGCTATTGCGTGTGATCAACCGAAACAGCATAATTCGGACTCGAACAACCTGGAAACTCCAGCGAAAGAACGTGTGATCTGTGGATTGAGGACGGCCACCTTTGTTCTCAGTGTTCTGCTGGCCATGGCTGTGGTGATAGCAACTGTGGGCGGCGGGGTGGGTGGTACACTGGCTGTTAGGAAAGCGAGAAAGTATAACTTCCATACAATCCGCTTTTCCATCCTTGATATTTGGGATATCTAATGGTCCAGTGACAGAGATGCGACTTTGGCTGCCATGTCTACAGCCACTATCACAACGATAACCGAAACGATCCCTGAGGCCTCCGGAAACCCAATAAAAGTGTTAACATCAGGGATCCTCGACATTCCCTGTCCAGAAAAAAGTGGCAAATTAGTGGAGATTGAACTGTCCGACAAGAAGGTGACATTTGATATACATTGCAACAAAAGTTATGGGCATGGGGAAGCCAATGATTTGCTCGCGATCAAGGTCTACTCATATTTGGATTGCCTTAAAGCCTGTGCATCGTATAATCGGTACTCAAAGTCGGATGATTGCGTTGCAGCGGTTTTTGATCGAAACCTCAGCACGGCAGAGGAATATAATGGGAATTGCTGGCTGAAGAACAGCTGCGATCCTATACTTAAGGTAGACAGCGGCGTTCTGAGCGGCGTTCTGAGAAGCGTTTTATGAAGTTGAAGTTTGCGGACTCAAACAATGAAATATGATGGGAAGATGAATAAACATATCCCATCGAGTGCCAATTGGCAACAGGTACATTATGCCCAGTTTTGACCCAGTTTTGCCCCCTCACCGCGGGAATACATGACGGTACGTCATCAACCCCTATATTTTCCCAGCTGCGTTCACCACCACAACTAACATTTCTACAGATGGGCAACTGTCGCGATGTCCTCAAGCGACTCTGATGCGTCTGATTCGTCAGCGCTTTCACATATCACCGTCGCAGTACTTCCCGAAGACCTTGATAGCGCCTGTACAGCTCAATGTAGGCCCGAGAGGTGTGATAGCGCAACTGTACGCCCACACGAATCGCCTCCGCTAGAAAGGGGCACACCGGGCCAATTCAACCCCCTCGACGTGCCCTACCGCGCCGCAACAGTACGGGGTCTATCTACTACCCCTTTAGAGCTTTTTCAGCAGTATGTGCCTTTGAGGCTGGTTGAATCGTGGGTACAATGGACCAATGAAGCCGCAGTACGAGGCCCTGTTCAACAACACTCACGATCCCACAGAAAAAAGACGAGGTCAGGGTGCCTGCAGTGTGGAGTAGCGCTTTGTAACTCGGATGATTGCTGGTACCTCTTTCATAGTCAGAGTATATAGACAACAGAAGTATCCATAATCTAGGCTTTTTGGTTGGCTAGAAGAAGTCTTGGCTGTCTCCTGAGTGGTCAGTTCCCCTCAAGGGCATGTACCTGTTGCCAATTGGCACTCGATGGGATAACTCACGCCAGAGGCAAGCTCCACTGTTCCTGCCCATGCGTGCCGTTCAGATGCGCATTGCCTTGTGCAACCACCGACATCCTCACTCCATCAATTGCCGTGTGTGTTGAATTGCTAGATGGCCAACTCTCTTTTTCATTTCATCTGTGTTAATGTCGAGGGTTCTTCACGGTCAGAACTCAGGAGAACAACTTCGAAAAGCAAAACGCTTCGGGCCGTCTCAGCGGGTCATCTCGCCCTATCCCTCTAAGAGCCAATTCCCCGCCTTAGACCTGCTTATTCGATCAAGCGCTGACACACCGCCACTGGGTCGTCCCGAGACCCATTCAACTTAATCTATGTTACCCGAGCGAGCCTATGGGAAACCTGCCGAGATCTCGGAAAGCGGCTGCCTAAGAAATATCCCCGCGTTCAATTGCGAGATATCCAATTGGACTCTTCCCGGTCCGTTAACCATGGTCGCATTGCTCGTGTTGCTTATTGTCTAGTCCTAAGTCCAAGACAATGGCAAGTTGCCAAGGGTAGCCGCTTTCACCCATTGTTGCCGATGAGTTGTTGATCTTACTTTCACACTGGGCCCGCCAGGTGTTGATGGAGCAGAGGCTTGGCACCCTTTTACCCGCGCTGAAAACGAAGACTTCATGTTACGCAGAGAACTCACTGTGATAAATCAGATATCGGCAGACTTCGGGACTGCGAGAGGTGTCGTGCAGCCACTGAAATATTCGGCAGAAATATGTAAAAGTCTAAGATCTTACCTGGTCTCGGTTTTCATATGTGAACTCCTCAACCTGCTGACACGGACTCATTGACAGTGAGAACGAGGTTGCATTGGAGTAGTCTGGCCAAGAGACTAAGCTGTGCACATGTGTACTGACACTGAATACCCAGCTAATAATCCGAGGCGACATCAGCCCCTTCGTGAGGATTCAATACCTTGTAGCTGAGCCAGCCTTCTTCGCAAACTCTACATCCTTCAGCAGCGGGGCGACTCTGAATGTCCAGAGAACTTCCAGATGTGGGAAGCGTGTTATGCTATCGACCAATGTCCTCCTCAGCGATTTCTCGAGGCACTTCAACGATGACATCTCAACGCGTATAAATAGCTCCATGGCAGACACCCAGCTGTATCTTTCCTCTTCGGATCATCGCCTCGACTCATCTTCTCTCGAACAACATCTTTCTCTCACAAAATGGTTAGCTTCATCCGTGCTGCCGGCCTTCTGGCCCTTCTCCCTCTCATTGCCGCCGCCCCAACCGCCGAGGCTAGCGAGCAGAATGTTCCCTTTTCTTTCGAGAAGTGGGCCGAAGATATCATTGCCAACCCCAACGGACAACATCCTTCTCCCGAGGAGGCCATGGCTCTCGCATTCAACCAGACTTCAAGCGGTTAGTGATACAGGCTTGACTTATTATAACACATACAGAGTGCTCACTTATTACTGTCTAGATGGCCTTGAGAAGCGTCAGCAGGATGTCAGCTGTACTTTCAACGACAACGACAACGCTGCTTCTGTAAGACACCCTGGACTGTTCTTTGGTCACCCTATCACGAGAGATTTCCGGGGCCATCGCAGTATATATCATCATGACGCGCATCTACTGACATTCATTGCCCAACATAGGTTGCCGACGCCGTTTGGTGCATCGACTTCATCGCTGCTCGCGCCAATGTCCAGTGCAAAGCAGTCGTCAGCGCCACTGTCTTCTGCCACCGTGGCCAGGCTCAGATCGCCGGTGTTGCTACCGGCGGCAACCCTCCCAAGGACACCTCCAGTCTGTGTGGCAACGTTGCCCGGTCGGCTGGCCAGATCATGGATGCTTGCACCCGTGGTAGTCTCGTCTTCGGACAGAACAACGCTTGGGGCAACGGCAACATGAGAGTCCACATCCGCCGCTAGGAGGCCAATTACGTGTACATGTACTTACTGACAGCATGGAGATGGAGAAAAGCAACTTCAATTGTATATAACTTCTTACTAGCACATCAAGAATGATTGGAATAATAATTATTTTCCCATATTCAAAAAAGCCCATTGCTTAGTTTGCAAAAGAGCGTACAGAAATACCAAGGTTGGAACCGATACGCCAAGATTCTTCGCGGTTCTGATAGGATTCCCCAATATTACTTCGATCTCCATGGGCTTCTGCCTCACTGCATCAACCTGCATACCCGGCTTCAACCGAGCCTCTTTGGGCGTGAATGCCACCATGTTATCCAGTATCTCGTCGGGGAAGACATGACCCGCTGCTTGGGCAACTGCCACAACATCTCTCATGGCCGGGCGGATCAGGGTGTCCGAACCACCTGCATCCTGAATGGCGCCAGAGTCCAGACCTGTTATGGCACAGACGGTGTTGAAAGAAGCGTTCCAGATGAGCTTTCGCCATCGAAACCAAGAAATATCCTTCTGAACATTGCATTTGGCGCCACCTGTGTTGTACATTTGAGCAAATGTGGAGCACGCGTTGCTCTGGTCCTCGTCGGAAAAGTTGGGGTTCGGCCAGTACGCAAGCTGAAGAATGTCTGAATCATTGTGCAACATCTCACGACCGTTGAGTTCGCACCCTATCAGTGGGACGCCTGATAGTAAGATGTTGGCCGGAAAGGCTTCAAGAAATGGCCGCTCAATGTCAATGCCGTTCTGGACGAGAATGATTGATGTCTGGGCTGTAATGGCTGGGCCAATGATGTTCGGGATCGAGTACACATCGCGCAAGTTCTTCATGGCCACCAAGACAAAGTCGAACGGCCCATGCTTGAGTGTGTCTTCGAGGGATCTTTCCACTGTATCGCTTCAATATCATTACACTTGTGAGGGGAATGAACCGGCAAAGAACTCACTGTGATGAGGTCTCCAACTATCGATTTCCCCGTGGTCAATGCTTCGAATGTGAAAGCCTCGGGCGTGGACTAGATCATAGTTGGACCGCAGGATTGCAGTGACCTCAGCGTCTCCAGACTTCTGAAGTGCGTACGCGCACATGGTTCCCACAGAGCCGCAGCCCACTATGAGAACTCTAGCCTGTCGCATCATGATGGGTAGTTGAGTAGGACTTCTAGGTTAAGAGAGGTGAGAAGAGGATGACTTCTCTAGTAATTGGAGCCGAGAAACTTGTCTAATATTATTCATACTTTATCTGAGATTATCAATTGTTTGATGAAGTAAGCCCTACGCATTGCCAGGTCTTTAGGCTGTATCGGTCTTCTCAAAGATCCAGGCAGGAGACTGCGACGCCCTATCATTCATGCGCTTAACTCTTTCTCTAAGACGATCTGCCTGCATGGCGCTTGAGGCGCGCCCGTAACCCTTCTTTAGGTTCTTCCAACGCCTCCTCTGCCTCTAACTCGGCCAAACCAGTCTTGAGATTAACCTCGTGGGAGGAGATAGCCCAGGAATCGGCGCGATGCAAGAATCGGTGAACAAAGTAGATGACAACAAACAATGGCAGCCCAATGTACGCTGACAAGAAGTCGGCCACGGACCAGCGGGATGGGAAAAAGACAGTGAAGCCGTTGAGCAAGCAGAGAAGTCCGAAAATGAACAGAGAGATGTATGATCCAACAGGCTGCAAGAAGGATCGTGCAACAAGAGCTGATTTTGGCAAGTTTTGAACGTCGCAGGCCTTGCGGAAGCGGATGTAAATGATTCCGCAGCAGACCCATGAGATGAAGCCTCCAGTGTTGACAAGATTTAGAAGCCAATTGAACACGTCTGCCGCGTTTGAGTTGACGTTCATGTAAGCCAAGAGTGAGAACAACGAGCTGGCAATGACGGCGTAGATGGGAACTCCTTGCTTGGTGCACCGCTTGAAGATCCGTGGAGCGCTACCTTCACAGGCCATCGAGTACAGAGATCGGCTTGCCAAGTAGAGGAACGAGTTGCCGGCGGACCAGGCAGCCGTAACGACGACGGCGTTAATCACGCTGTCGAGTCCCTTGATTCCCGCGTTCTTAATCCCTACAACCCATGGCGAGGCCGCAGCTCCAGAGCTTCCGCTGGTGAGTGCCGGTGCGTTGGAGGGGCAGATGACGGAAATAGCAATAGTTCCGCCAATGTAAAAGACGATCAATCGCCAGAAGAAGTTACGGGCAATTTTCGGCAGGTTCCTTCGAGGAGACTGGACCTCTCCGGCGGTTACAACAACCATCTCGGGCGAAAAGGTGAATGGAAGAACGCTGCTGAGAAGAGTTGACAAGGCGGCCACGAATCTGCCTGCGTCGCCTGAAACGATCAGCTCCTTGGTAGCGCCGGGGTCATTCCAGTATCGGAAATAGAGGCGCTCGTGGGTTGGACCGCCTCCGAAGAACAGCACGATTGAGAGGATCAGCAGGCCAACAATGGTCAGAACCTTCAGTCCAGCGAACCAAAACTCCGTTTCGCCGTAGAACTTGACGGGTAGAAGATTGAGACCGACGATCATTACCAACATAATCGTGATCCAGACGGCATTATTAACGTTCGGATGCCAGTACTCGATGACCAAGGCTGATGCCGTGAGCTCGAAGGGGACAAAGATGGCAAAAGAGTAGAAGTAGAGCCATCCCATCATGAAACCAAGACTTCGCGATACGTAGCGGCTGCCGTAGTAGTTCATGGTGCCGCCTGGCAGCGGAAGATACGTCGAGATTTCGATGACTGCAGTCAAGACCAAGTAGATCAGAGCTGACATCACGACGTAGCTGCCAACAAGGAAGGCCGGTCCGCCGCGGGCGAGGGTGCTGCCGGAACCGACGAAAAGGCCGGTGCCAATGGTTCCACCAAGGGCGATGAATTGTGCATGTCGGGCAGAAAGACCGCGCTTGGTTGACAGCTCTGCAGTTTCCGTAGCTTCGATGGATTCCGGGTGGGATGACGCCGCAACGTGGCCGCTGACCTTGTTGTCGCTGTCGCCTTCTGTCTTTATTTCCATCATATTTGCTTGCAGATGTTCGCAATAACGAAAATGCGACGGGTTGAGGAGTTAATGAGGCAGAAGTTCGGAAACAGGGATGTTGATAGGGCTCATTGAACAAGCTTTCCCGAAAAGCTTCACCTTGAGTCTCAAACTACCCCCAAGCAACTTGACATGTTACCTCCCATCTGCATTTATACTTGCCATGTAGATATCGTACTCATCAATACTTTGAAGATATTCGCGACTCATTTGTCTACTTCAAAGAGATAAGCCAACCTCTTATCTAAAGGCGCGCCTTAGCCCATGATAGCGCGTGAAACATTCCCAAAGATATCGGAGTCGACTTCCAGGAGTCGGCTTGACCGATGTGGGGGCCCTATTCCCGACCGTTGGAGCCGTCGGAGTCTCTTGCCTCTTGATTAACTCCAACCGTCTGATAGGTGCATCAAGGCTTCAACCTATCGGCCTCGAATCGGCATTGGTTCTCCTCACTTTAGTCGTCATCTCAACATGCACGTCTTGTCGGGTATTATTTAAGCAAATCATACGATGGACATCATACAAAAATGTCACCTAATAAAGCCAGATCGATTGCGAAACACCCAAGCCAAGAAAACCAATACTCACTTTGAACATGCGTGTTGCAGATGCAATCCTACTCTGCGCGGGTGCTGACCTTGCAGCTGGCCTGAATGTTGGTCCGAACTATCAATATCCCCTAGAAGGTACGTTTGTTCAGTTGTCTCGGCGATCGGATTGAAGATTCCCAGCTAAGCTTCCTCCCAGATCTGGACAAAGATCTGCCGTTCTCTCAGCCTGTGACATTTGCGCACTTGGAATGGCAACGTTGTTTAGCGGAGTCGCATAATAAGGTAAAGCCCCCTGCAGTCTGAAAGCCATATGAAGATTCATCTGACCATGAGCCCAGCCTCTTGACATTGCCGTTCTGGGATTCCCTTATGACACCTCTACTTCCTACCGTCCAGGAGCTCGCTTCGGCCCGAGAGGTATTCGGGCTGGGTCGTCCAGGGAGAAGAAAGGGCGTAGTTACAACACCGTGTGGGAGGTTGACCCTTACGAACAGGGACTGGAGATTGTGAGAGCTTATCCGAGTGAACATCCCCATGGATCATGTATTCACTAACATGATACTGCGGTGAAAGATCGACTGTGGAGACGTGCCCATCACCCCCTTTGATGCCAGCCATGCGTTCAAGCAAATGGAACAGGCGTATCGACAGATTCTCTACCATCCGACCACCGATCAGAGTAAGTCTACGGAGTACTTATGTTGGCGAAAATAGGCAAGCAGAGTCACAGCCGCTAACCTAAATTTTAGATGAATGGGAACACCCCCGCATCATCAGCCTTGGAGGCGATCACTCCATAGTCTTGCCAATTCTTCGCAGTCTAAAGACCGTTTATGGACCCATCTCAGTCATCCATCTCGATTCGCACCTTGACACGTGAGGCTCTTGACATGAATCTCTACCGGTTTAGGTCATCATTCACTAACAATACTCACGCGCAGATGGGATCCTTATGAAGGCTACACGGGAATCGTTTCGAACCAGTCCGCCATTACTCATGGAACCTTCTTCTGGCATGCGAGCCGAGAAGGGTGCATCAGCAAGGGCACCAGTGTTCATGGCGGCTTGAGGACCAAGCTCTTTGTGAGTAGCGAGATGGTTTCATGATGATCGCCCTATCTAACGAAATGCAGAGCCCGAAAGACTATGAGATCGACAGAGATGTCGTCGGATTCACCATAATTGAGGCACATGAGATTGACGATATTGGCATGAATGGCATCGTCAAGAAAGTCAGAGACGCAGTTGGTAACACACCGGTGTATCTTTCCATCGACATTGATGGTAAGTTGATGCCAACCCCGTTAAGAATGTTTGACTAATAAAGCCAAAGTCCTGGACCCGAGCATCGCTCCAGCTACTGGAACGCCAGAGTCGGGCGGTTGGACCACGAGAGAGCTGAAGAGATTCCTCAAAGGTCTTGAGGGTCTCAACCTGGTCGGTGCTGATGTCGTTGAAGTCAGCCCGCCGTATGACTCTGTGGCCGAGACAACTTCCGTCGCTGCCGCTGACTTGATTGTCGATATTCTGGCTGGCATGACGAAGAAGAAGACTTTTGATCCGTCCAGGAACGAGAAAGACGAGTTGTAATCACTGTCTTTCCAACATAATGAGAAACCAATAGGTACTCGGCGCAAAAGCAGAGCGCGTAGTGGGAAAAAACTTCGCTGCTCGAGAACAACCAGCGAGACAGAGAGCTCCGAAGTCTATAATCTGCAATATTTTCAAGACCTCAACTCGGTCGTGTCTTTCTCCACTGCCTTGCCCCCAGCCATCTCCCCTTTTTGGCAAGTTATCCGCTATGCCAGGGGGTTTGCTGACGGTGCTTATGGTTATTTACGTAACCTCGTCGTCCCCCCCTGCTCCGTCAATTACGTTGAATGTGAGGATGCTTAAGTTCTGCAACTTGCCATCATCAGCACTATTGACAATTGCTTTTTTTGGGACATAGGAGAATCAACATCTGGGGAAGAGAGGATCATCCAAACTTTCAAAAGAAGCATAAATGAGCCTGGGGCTGATTCCCTGGGGCATCGCTGCAACATCACCGAGATTCCGTCGCAATGGGCTAATCCAGAACGGTCTTCAGTGGGGTTTACAAGGCCTTGAGGTCGTATTTTGTAATGAATATCCACTCTGAAGACGCCCTGAAGAACTCGGTCTTGAATGTCCATCTCCTTTTCTTTCAGAAATCCCATCCCGTCAACATGGTTTCCGCATTCTCTGCATCTTGGAGGTATTGATCGACACAACATGCAACTCAACGACATGTCGCCATCAGCTGCAGCCCTTGCCATGGTGCTCTCCGGCTTGTTGCCCTCAGTCCTGGCAAGCACTTGCAGCAACTCAACTCAATCTGCGCCTCACGCCCTCACATCCCAAGGTCTCGTCAAGGGGTACCATGACGCGAGTTGCAACTCGGTGTTCCTAGGAATCCCATTTGCTGCAACAACAGCCGGTGAGAACCGATGGAGGGCGCCGCAAGATGTACCGAAGTCTAACTCGACGGTGATCGCAACCTCTTATGGTCCAACTTGCCCTCAAGCAATTTCTGGCACTCTTTACACCCAGCAGGATGAAAACTGCCTCAGCCTCAACGTCTGGGCACCCTCGACAGGCGAAAATTTGCCGGTCTTCGTATACATGTATGGAGGTGCGATGGTCACAGGTTCCAATAGCAACCCCCAACTTCAAGGGTCTAACTTTGCCCGAAATGGTGTGGTATACGTCAACTTCAACACCCGCGAGAGCATCTATGCGTCGCCGAACTCGGCGGAACTCAACGAGGCCTCTCCTGAAGAGTCACAGAACTTCAGTATCCTCGACGTTGAAAAGGCACTTGATTGGGTTCGCGACAACATCCATGCATTCGGAGGTAACCCCGATCACATCGTCTTCGGTGGCCACTCGTCCGGAGCCGTGCAGGTGGATCACTACCTCTGGAACCACCCAGATTCGTGGCTCAAAGGAGCAGTTGAGATGAGCGCGAATGCCATGTCTGGGCCGGCATACGCGCCAGTCAACGAAGCACTCGATGCCGTAGCGGCTGAGGTTGGCTGCTTGAAGGCAGGGGAGAACCAGCTCGAGTGCCTGCGCAGCGTTGACACTTACGCCTTCCAAACAGCCAACTTCAACTCGACTTTTAACGCATGGTTTACCCCTGTCATTGATAACGTCACGAGGCATTCTGATTACGCTGCAAGATTCGCAGCTGGCCAGTATGCATCACACGTGCCGCTCCTTACGGGAACTTCTAATGGTGAGGGCACCATCTTCAGTCTAGTGTATGGCGCCGAAAACAGCAATTTCAGCTCTTGGATCAACACTTTCGATGCCGATAGTGCGCACATCGAAGACGAAAACCTTCTGGCAGCGTATAATGCTTCCGATTATGAGACGGAATCCCTCAGAAGTGGTGCCCAGTATGGCGACGCCCGTTTCAACTGCGCCGTTGACTATCTGCTGGACCTGCGCAGTGCCAAGCAAGACACCTGGGTCTATAGATTCTTCGGAGCCTACGACAACGTGGTAGGGGTTCCGGGAACAGCACCCACACACGGAACCGAGGTGCCCTTCTTTCATGGAGGCAACGAGTGCTTCGGTTCCCTTACGGGCGTAACTGAGGCACAGCAGGCGCTGGCTGTTTCAATCCATGGTTGGTTCGTGGACTGGATCAAGAACCCGGCTGCCGGGCCTGGATGGGCCAAGGGGTCACCGCAGTCTGGGCCTTTGATCAAGCTTGGAGTCCCTGGAGATGAGTTGTCTGCCATTCAGGGGTCAACCGGCGATTTCAATGCTCGCTGCAAGTCGGTACGTATCTTGTTATCTATGAATTCCAGATCCCAACATCTTACTGATCATTAATCAGGTCTATGCACCTGCGTTCCCCAAGTACCCGGTCGTTCAGTCTGCTCTCTAAGTGCTGCCCTGGCGTACCTGAGCATGAAAATCCAGCACCGACTCCCGAGATGGGGTCAGCATTTCGGAGGAAAGAAGGACGGGCTTGTAAATATGTGTCAGGCCCATCCCAGTACACTCGTTACAACGATTGTCACACTATGCCTATGAAACAATATGGTCTTACACAAGCATGACTAAGTTTGCCAAGGATATGCCAGTATAAAGGGTCTTCCACTCACTATATAGATAGTCGGGATATTCCCATAGCCACTCGTTCTTCATACTCATCAATACATCCCATTGACCCCCTACCTGATAATCGCTGCCCAACACCAACAAATGTTGCGACCATGCCGGCACCAAAGGCACCCTTGTCGATGAAGACGTGTTCGTCAGGCAGCGCAGCTACCGTAACAGATCTATCAGTTCAATCAGCCAAACAAAAAGTCAAAAGAGAGGCAATTCGCGATTCAATCAGTCAGATAATGGAGGCCGGTTATTCGAATCGTCTGAACAGTTAAAGGCTCGTCGGAAAAGGGATATTCCGGCCGCTTGACCAATCAAAAGGTCCGCAAGACCTACTATCTTGTAAAAAGGATTGGCAAAGACGAGTCACGATTACGGGGGTCGAACCCCCGACTCCGAGGCTAAAATACCTCAACGAAATATCCCATCGAGTGCCAGATAGCTCCATTTTTGCCAAGGGCGGGGTAGAGCCAATAGGGACTTGTGAATCTGTCGAGTCAACCAATAGGGTAACAGTACCTCTGTTCCCTATATATTTTGGGTATGCCATAGGTACCAGCAATCTCCCTTGGTACATAAAGCTACATTATAGTCTAAGCAGCCCTTCCGCGTCCCTTTCTTCTGTATGAGGCTATTCCCAGATTTCTCAGCTAGGGTCTGGCGGGCCCTTAATGCTTTCTTATTACTACAGTAGGAACAAAGTGAATTAGCCCCCCTTGATCCCTTCCTGTGGTTTTCCCATGGAATAGAGGTATTCCTTTTGTCTGTAGCCCGTCTAGGGTCACGAATGGCATCACAACTGTCATCAAGGCCCCCGATGGCTACCAGGTAGACTTTGACCATCCGCAACAACAGAAAGTGCTCGAACACTACCTGGTATTTGGCATTTTGGGGCCCTTAGCATTCTTGACCTTGATACAAAGGTTCTATACCAAATTCTGTCTATCCGATGGTCCAAAGATTGACGATTGTGAGTGACTTGGCATCGCACAACCATGTCCGTGCTGTTACTGACGCGCATTCTCCACAGTTCTGATCTTCTTCGCATGGGTGACTTTCTGACCTCCCTCCATTTGAACCCGAAGGAAACTGACTTTTCAAGATTTGTTCCATTGTCATGCAGTCGGTGCAAATTTCTAAGATACTAGACCTTCAGGTTCTCGGGGCTCGATGAAGAAACTCACATCATCCTTCAGGGTCTATATCGATAGGGGGCTTGGGCCATCATGCTTTCGAGATGTCCATACAGACATACGAGAAGCACATGCTGGTGAGTCGTCTGGCTGAGTTCATACTAGACGTTGTCGACTTGAACTTACCATTTGTTAATACGGTCTCACAGAGCTCTTACATTGTTGCCCCGGTGTTCATCACTTGCAACGGCTTGACAAAAACCTCGCTTCTGACCGCGTACCTCAACATTTCACCACAAAAGTGGTACCGAAACGCCATCATGACGGCCATCGCAATGGTAGCCACGTACACGATCATTATCGCGTCACATCTACTGTTCCACTGTCAACCCATTCGCACAAACTGGGACCCTTATACCACCGGAACATTCCTCAACTCAGCAGTGCTTTACATGGCCATCGCCGTTTTCAACATCGTTTCTGATGTCGTTCTTTTCATCATACCCATTCCCATGGTTCTCCGTTTGCAGATGCGGCCGGCTGTCAAAGTCGGAGGCGTTCTAATGTTTGGCATTGGATCCATGTATGTATACCATATTCCAGCCGCCTGAGGAAAACATACTGATCCCCTGCCCAGAACTGTTACGACATCTGTCGTCCGCATGGTTTACTTGCAGTCGCTTCTTTCATCCAATGATATCCCATGGGTAGCAGCCCCTGCAAATGTCTTGTCGTATTAAGAGCCCAGCCCTCGTGAGGCCACGTAGGGGTGATTTCAGTGTATAGAATCTAAGCTAAAGAGGAGAGATTTGGGGCGGGGATTCCGCAGAGGAAAAACGTTCAAGTGGGACCCACGCGGAATTGGCGCGGTAAGTCGTGTGTCAAGTTGGGGTTGTTTCCGCAGGGTGGAAGCTCTCAGAGGCCAACTGCAGTTAGGGGTAGAATGATGAATTACTGAAATCTGCTCCTCCCCCGACGTGTACTCCCTGCGCTGTATATATATCTGAGCTGCTCCTTTGTTGCTTGGACTCCTTACTACCTTTAACTAGCCCCTATCCGGGAGGGCTCTGACATCGTGGCAGAATCCGGGCCTTAGCCCGGATCCACTAATCGGGTCCAGCCCGTAACAGGTCGTACGTACTCAGCCCCGTCCTATTCCAAAGTCCTCCATATTCCAAGCTAGTAACTAACGACTTCCCGCTTAAAGTTTCGTCGAGGTGAATCTGTTCATCATATGTGGCTCAATGCCTACCCTACGCAGATTCTTCCGAGAAATGGCACCCAGACTGATTGCCTCGGAAGGGTCGAGAGTGAAGGAAGGCACACATGCCAGTATTTCTCGAGGGCCGCGCAGCAGATACTCGCAGTTTGACGTTGAGATGGATAGCCTTTCCAGTGAAAGTGAAGTTTGGAGGAAAGTAAACAGAGCAAATCAAAAGCGGGAAAGTGATTTGAGAAGTCTCTGTTGTCGATTGCCTTTGGTGGAAGCCACCTAATTCAAATCTCTCCATGAGGTCTGGTATCTCGATTCTACGAGACCTTTCAATGGTAGTATGAGCTTTAATCGGACCACATTCAACCGACAATGCCCCAGCCTGTAGCTCTCTCCCTGATTTCGCTACGATTTGATCACTTTGTCTTGCTTGATACTCAAGGATATCCTTAAGGTACTGAATAGTTAACTTCATTCCTGTCAATCTTCCCTACTCGATCGCTACCTTTGATATAGGTAGTTGAAGCGAAGTGGGGGTTTCGAGCAAGCTCCTCAGACCCTTACGATTCGCAGCTACAATGGCCTGCGCGGAACTTGATTAGCTCTATATGTCATGGAATCAACGGCCCTGACATGAAGCCTACCTGTGCGAGCACCTTTCCAACGCTCATCGGGTGTTCCACATCTAAGTATAACACTTTCATTATTGAATCAAGGAAGGATTTTGCGATGCCGCCGATGCGTTCCAACCCAAAGAAGGGATCCGTGGCCCTAGTACCCTGATACGTCCCGACCAGAAAACAAGGGGCGTCTGGTCGCGCGCTGGATACCTCGTTCACCAAGTCTTGGATTTCGGCCTGGACTACATTTTCCCCGCTTACGAGAATCAAGAACGCGTCCACATATTTGTACGACTATTGCCTGAGAGAGCGGTCATCTTCTAGTCCCGTCGTGTCGCGTATTTCAAGACCCAGTAGTTCACCATTCACACTGTCATGTCAACACAGAATTCATGAACAGTTTCGACAGACTATAGTTTTGGCGTTGCCAAAGACACGTACCGTACTGCGTTCCGAGAATAATGAGTACGCTTTGGGATGTGTACATATACATCTTTTTCGGATGAAAACCATGGTCTTGGGTTGACGAAAGTATTGATCATCTCATTCTTGAGCGCTTTGGAGTCTCCGACTATCATGATACTAGATTACTCAATATAAGACCGATTTGGAGAGAGGAGATCAAGTACTCACGTGAAAGTTGTTAATCCTTCATGTTGAATTCTGGGCTCTCTGAACGCCATGTCATCAGACTCATCAAGTTTGAAAGCTAATGTTCCAGCCAATCTTTTGCCCCTAATAATAGCTCGAGACAGAGTGTCGCTGCGCTCCAATGGTCTGGGTCGAGTCTGGTCTTCCATGGATTGATGGTCCATCAAAAGACTTGAAAATATTGACCCTGGCGCAATTTTGTTAATCTCCTTGAGAGTAAGTGGCAATCTAAACGCCGACATAATGGAAGTGTCGCCGATACTGAGACCTGAGAGCATACTCCAAGCACTTGTCGGGGCGTTGGATGTTTTGAATGAGGATCTGTCTGTTTCGCGATCTTGGGTCCGTTTATAAACCCTCGAATGACCCAGGTCGAGCTCGAGATTCCTTTTTGATAGCGTCATGGTCATTGATCCCTCCGAAGACTGTGGCCTCCGAAAGACGGCTGAAGAGGATCTGTAGACAGCAGTTTGTGTAGACACAAGTCTACTCAGTCTTGAGGACGGATTGTCCATGAACTTGACGGACCTCGTGTCCCACGACGTTTCGCTATCGAGCAGCTTCAGTTGTTCGGCCAATGTCCGATTTTGCTCAAGAATTTCGTCCACTTTGGCCAACATAGTAGCTTGAGAGCGAACCGCTTCTTCTTGGGTCTCGCTATGGCATGATGAATCAGTTTCAGAATACCTGGTACCTTTGATTGTCTACTACTCACCTCTTGAGAATTGTGACCATTACAGCCAATGTTGACTTCTGAGACTCCAACCGAGGAAGAAGAGCTAGGATCTTCTTTTCGTGCCACAGCGCCCATTTCATCCGGGACCGCAACCATCCTGCTGGCAGACGATAGATTCAAGTTTTGAAAGGGTCAGGACCGAGTGCGTGATGACGATCGAAAGGTGGTCGAGCTGGATCATGTTTTTGCGGGAACTGGGGAAGGTGTCGAGGGAGTGAAGCAACTTGTGGACAGAAGACAGAGTCATCTTCGTCTCTTCAATGATTTGAAACATTTGCATCGCCGACTCGGGGGCATCGATGGCGCTGGAGATGAAATTGGAGGTGGTGTTGTACACTTTGACCGCCGTGGCCGACAATCCAGCAACCGAGCCAACGATGCTGAGAGGGTCGGCCATTTTGGTTTCTCTAATTGACAGAGGATATCTGAAAGAGACGGGAGCGACTCTAGAGGAAGAATTTTGGAAGAAGTGATGCTGTCATGGGATACCCGCATTAGAGATACTAGTCGCTAAAGTTTACATGAAGAAAAGCACCCCGGCGAAACTACTTCTGGGGGTCGAGACTGCCGACTCGCATGTGCAGTTTCCAAGTCTCTCAGCATCGTATCATCCTTGTTGGTTGTGCCTGGCGCCAGGGGAGATGGAGGCTTAGACGCGCTTACCCCTGGCAAGATAACAAGCCAGACCTGCAGGTCAGCCTTTTGGTCAATTTGGCGGACAGCCATTACTGACTCATTATGCTGAGGCAAGTAGACCGCCTAGTCGGGCGCCTTGAAGACTGCATACTGGCGAACCACATCTGTGGAAAAAGCCTCGTGGTGATTTGCAAAAAGCGATTTTACTTCCAACAGCAACCGCTCCGCCACACCTCAGCCTTCGAGGGTCGCGAACACATACGGACGTGATAGAATTCACACTTTTGATAACTCTTGCTTCTGTTGAACTGACATTTTTCTCGGCTGTGCCTCTGTTTAAACTGCAATGAACTCGGGAGAACCACCTCATGGGCTACTGCTACAAGTGTAAACACATCACCAGGAACCTCTGAGCAACCAGCTCGCATTGTCCGGGAGTTGAGTTTAGTGGAAGGGGATCTTTTATGTACTTTTTGAATGCAATTTCTTTCAAGATTCGGTGAAGACTGTGTTGATTGACTTGAGAAGTCCAATCAGCCGACCCAATAGCCGAAGTTGCGCCAGAGTTGCGTCGTGACGACAAAAGAAAGGTGAAATTCTTAGCCAGAGATGAAGATCAATTATCACAAGAAGAAAGCTTGGTCAAGTACAACTAACTCGGTAGAGTAGAATAACAAGTCAACGTCGGCTCTCAACCCAACGCCCGCGTCAGGCGGAGCCGTAAACCCGGCGTCCCCTCTCGGCATCCCGAGCCAAGCTTTCTCATCCGGACTTTCCAACGTCAAAGCTCCCCCTCCTCACACAATGACACAGTCAAGCAGTCCACCGAAAGCTCAAGTAAGGGAACCCCCCCGACTTCCAAAACCTTCCAACACGCTCAATGCTCCGAAACTAACCCATGAGTGTGAAAGTTGGTCTGATGTTCCCTCCACACGACGACCTCACCCAAATCCATAGGCAACCGGTAAGAACCTTTCGCAAACCCCTCTCTTCAGCCCACGGCCCCCCGTTCTTCCACTATGCCTGCCAGAGACTTATCGATAAACTTTCCCCGAGCCTGCATCCAGAAGAAGGTGTCAGACTGGCAGCGATGGCAGTCGATGACACTTGACACCGTTAAGGCCCGCACGTACACACGCGTCACGCCCGCACCGCACAGGTGCAACGATTGTTTGGTCTGTTTCTTGCGATCCCCTCTTTTCCCGATCCCAACTTTGATGCGCTGGTGGAATCATGGAGAAAAGCTTCTTTTCGCCTTCGGTGGGTGGTATAAGTCCCCGGGCTCTGGGAACTCCCCCACCACTCTCACTTGACACTGAGAAACCGTGTCAGTCACTCGACTCTGAATATTGAAGCCATCGTGTCACAACAATCACTCGAAAAGAACACCACAAGACTAAACAAAACCATGCACCCCACAACATCTCTCTTCGCCCTCCTCCTACTCCAAACAACCCTCGCCCTCCCAACCGCAAAAGACAACAAAGTCTTCGCCCCAACCCCTGACCTGCCCCCCGTCCCCGTCCAAGACCTCGGCATCCACACGGGCAAAATCGGCGTAGACAACGTCGACCTCTCGGCCCTACGCGTCGATCCCGTCCGCGTCATCAACAGAATCCAGTCGTCGTCACATTCTACCTCGTCTCTCCTCACTAAACGCCGAGACGTGCTACTTGAAGAAGAAGATGGGCGGATTACTATCGCCAAAAACAAACGCTCGCATATCCAGGTTGATCCGGTGGAGGTGAATGTTCATATCATGAGGCCTGAGGTGCATACGATGAGTAGTGGGAAGAGTGGCAAGGTGGAGGGGGTGCAGAGGGAGACGAGAAAGGGGGATGAGGATGTGTAGGATGTGGAACCGAAACCAAAGTACATTCCGAAATTCATGATGGATTACAGTACTGGCGGATGGTTTCGGCATATTCGATTCTGAGGTTGCTGCTCGGCTTGAGGAGCTGGGTTGGGATAATCGAGCTGGGTTGAAGTGAGTCTCGACTTGAGGGTGTCGGCCACTGCGCAATATGCCGGCGTGGTGTAGTGGCATACACCTGGCAAGGCCTCTGGAGCCCAGAGGTCGCTGGTTCGATTCCAGCCGCCGGCAACTGCTTTAACTACCTGTGGGAAGGGTAGGGCAGGTCCCAATGCGGGGCCTAGGACCCTTTCCGGGCCCTCGCCAGGGTTTTCTCATATCCACACCCTCCGACCAAGAAAAAGTGGATATGCGGCGAGTACACGTCGTCAACCAAGTACTGGGGCAGGAATGGTCTTGTACAAATCAGAACATGTACGAGGGGCCTATTTCGGCAGGCCGCCCTCTCCAGACATATCCGGCCTTAAGCCGCAAAATTCAAGAATGGAACTGGGGCACCAGCGGGAACCAGGGACAGATAGAACGCATAGTAGCCATAAGGCACGATTTGGAGGACGATTTGAACTGTATCTAGCAATAGTTATAGGGCAACGGCTCTCCACGCCATATACCTACCCTTCGGGAGGTCGGCCGCAAGGGCGGCTGCGCCCTTGCCGCCACGGCGTTAAATATAACACACAACACACACACACAAACACACTGCGCAATATTCTTTGCTTCTTCGTTTGACTAGGGGCTGGACAGCGGTTATTCGTATGATTTTGAAATTGGAGGTCTAGCGGCTTGCATTTATTTGAATTCAGTTTGGCCTATCGGAGAATTGGGTGGGAAAGAAATGGATGAAAGCGGGCGGCTGGTTTCTATTCAACTCCCGCTGTTACAATCCTTACCTTGGTTAGCTAGGTACAATTGATAGTGTCATTGTCAAATCAAAAACAACGACAACGTGTTCGCAAAGCCACTATATCAGGCCCTCATTTCTTCGTGGTGATTGGTATCGCAGACTCTTATTCATAATCATCGTTAATTAAGTACACTCGCGCCCCTTGAGGTTATACAAGCGAGCCGATACAAGAGGTGAAAATGCATAACTCATACAGACGGATATTGCCTGTTCCAACTGCAGGCCGGAGATGAGGTATGGGGTATGCTTCCGACGCCAGTGATATGCAACTAAGAACACGCGGGATCCCTCCTTTGAACCGTGACCATTACGAACCCCAAACCAAACCCCTCTTCATGTTCACGTCAGTATCCAGCGGGCCATCTGGCACCGGGTGGTTCGGTAGTTGAGCTCAAGGACGGGCAAAACCTTGTTTCGCCTAAGAATTGTTAGTGATGAAGGATAGATGACAACATATCAAGGGGACTACTAACCTTCATTTGTTCAATCCTGGCTTTCAGTTGACTGGTCACTTCAGCTGCACGCTTCCAGCTTTCCACACCGTTGCTGTTCGAGTTCATGCCGCCGCCTCCACCGCCGCCGCCAGACGAGTACGAGGGTGCTGGTATGTCATCAACAGGGGTGGCCGCAGAGCTCCTGTAGCCTCTAGCAGGGCTGCCGCGTCCGGAAGATGCACTGCCCGTATACCTAAGTTCGGGACTCAGTGCCTTTGAGCGAGGGTAGTGATGGTCTCCATTCTCCTTCTCCTCGGACATGTTGCTGGCGTAACTAACACGGTTGTGTCGAGCAGATGATGAACCGTATGAGGCGTCGCGGTAGATACCAGCGTCATCATGTGTAGGCGAAGCAAGACCTGCGAGCGAATTAGTACACGGTCGCGAACCAAGGTAGTAGAAGAAGCTGCTATCTTACCGGGACTGCCCATGCCCGTCCTTGAGTTCAGGGCCTCGGCGTGGTTGAGCGCTCTCTTAAGGCGGTCAAGCTCCCGTCTGAGGCGATCATTCGTTGACTCCGTGGCCTCTGCATCGCTTCTTGCGCGAACCAACTGCGTCTCCTTGGCCTTGATGCTGAGGACATCGCGGGTGTGATCTTCGATGAGACCTGCGTTCTGGTTCTTCAACTCTTGAATCTCGGACATGTACTTGCTCCTTTCATGCCGCATTTCCTCGACTTGGCGTGTAAGGCGCTCATTTGCTGATCGGAGTTCTTCGAGCTCGGCCCGCTCCATTACCGTGAGTCCACTGGATGGGGGCGGCGACGCAGGGGGCATCTGAACAGGGGCGGCAACAGGCTTTGCTAGCGATCGTCCCGCAAGACCACCTCTGCCGAGGCCGATGCGAGGCTGGGGTGGGGGAGGAGCAGGTTCGTCATCGTCAGGCATAATCGGCGCGGCAGCAGGGCGTCGGGGAGAACCGGCAGCTGGTGCACCGAGAGGGCGCTTTGATTTGAGGCCTGCCAAACCAGACGGCTTCGGCATGCCCATCTTGGTGCCTGCGGGTTTGGGACGAGATGAAGCTTGTGGGGAGAGGGGTTCCGGATCGGCGGGCGGCGGTGCGCTTGCTGCTGGCATGGCCGGTCTCTTCATACCCAGGGGCTTCTTTCCTCCAACGACCCTCTTCGGAGGCGGTGCCTTCGCAGCTGGTGGGGGAGGCTTCGGCTTCTCCTTGGCCTTGACTTCAGCCGTCTCGAAAAACTCCTTGATCTTGGTCTTGCGGATATCGTCTAGGCCTTCCATGTGCGGACCCATGCCGCGCTCGCCAATGATTTTCATGACTGTGCCCAGAATCTCGGCACCGCCTGAACGAAGACCTTCGCTGGACTCGGTCAGCAGCTTTTTGCCTGCCTCGACAATGGAGGCAATCTCTGACTTGCTCGGCACGTCGCGTGTCGTTCTCAGGCAACGAATCAAGAACTTCATGGTGCCTTCCTTGATCTGTGGGTTCTTGTGGACAAGGTAGGTGTTGATATCTTCGAGACAATCAGTGAGACTTGTCGCCAGGAAGACTTGGTCAAGCGCGGCGCCGAGAGCATCCGCCACGGTGGCCTTCTTCTCTTTCAAGCGCTCCATGATGGGTTGCATGACAGTAGTGCGGTGTTTCGCGTAGCCTTGTTTTAATCCCTTGGCCAGGACCTCGATACACTGCGCGGCCTGAGTCACGACAGCAACGTTGGCGTCCTTCATGCATTTTGCCAGCCCGCGGTTGATCTCGTTGAAGTCGCCGTCCTTTATTCTTGGCACGTTGATTGCCGCGTAGAGACCCTCCACTGCTTCTTTTCTTTCCTTCCACTTGGACGAGGCCAAGGCTTCGTTAAAGTTGGCGGGAATCTTGCCAAAGACGTCCTGGGGCTCCGCCAGGTCGAAAGCGTCCATCTCGGCGGGTTCCTCGGCGTAGTCTCCACCGTCATCGTACTCGTCGTCGGCTCCGGGTGGAGGTGCTCGCGCCATGGCGGCTTGTTGCGAGCGCAAGAATCGTTCCTGCTTCGGGGCTGGCTCGGCTTTGATCTTTTCAAACTGCGCCTCAAGATCGGTCTGCTGGGTGGATTTCAAGTCGCCCCAGAACATGGGCTTCATTGCTTCGCGTAGCCATCGGTAGAACTCGACTGCAAGGTTCGTCGCGGCAGCACGGACATTCTTGTCGGCATGTCCAAATGCCTTGGGAAGGACCTTCAACACGGGCTTGGGGTCGACAGTCTTGCATCCGAAGTTGTGGTAGATTGCGGTCAGGGCGGTAATAGCTGCGGCGACAACCTTGGGTTGCTTGTTGGAAAGAGCCGGGATGATCTCCTCGATGACTGGGGCGGCAACGTCGAGCTCGACGAGCAGGAGAAGGGCTTCGAGAGATGACTCCTTGGCGGCGGCACGTGTTGACGGCAGACCTTTTTCGCAAATCGGTCCTATCGTAGTTCCACGCGTCCTTGTGCAGTGTTCCTTTCCGCCAAATTTGAGAAAGGCGCAGTAGGCCGCCAGACCATCTTGCTGGGCGGCAACGTTGGAGTCGGCGACGGCACCTTTCCAAAGGCCCGAGTCGGAGAGGAAGGGTCTGAAGGCATTGTCGTACTCGTCGGCAGTAGCAGAGAAGGCCTTTGCGGCGTCTTCGTAGGCCTGCTTTCTTACTTTCCAAACCTGCGGCGCGTCAGCGCATCATACACGGCGCAGCGGATGGATGCGTAACTTCATACCTTGTGGGTGAACCTATCCTGGAGGGGAAGGGAGCTAAAGTCTTCTTCTTCAGCCATCGGAATGGAGGCTTGCTGGCGGGGTGTAGAAGGAACCGGTTTGGATGGTGGAGGGGTTGTTGTAAGAGGAGGAGGAGGAGGAGGAGGAGCTGGATCGGGAGAGTAGTTCTCCTTGTCGTGGATGTCTGGCTTTCTGAAGCTAGCTACACGTTTAATTAGCCTCGAGAGGGAACGAGTGTGTTTGAGATGACGGTCCATATTGAGGAAGGAGGACGAGCTGCTGCAGGACGCAACGGTATGCAGGCTGCCGGCAGCTGCAGGCGCAGTGACTGGCGATGTCTGGGGTGATATGGGCGCAAGAAGACTGGCAAGACTTACAGAATGATGGTCGAGCTGGAGCGGATCAGGTGAGGTTGTCGCAGTAGCCAAAGACTTGTTGGTCGTCAAGCCAATGTGGGATCGGTACCTGGCAGTGGGAGAGCTAGGTGCGAGCAGTCGAGGTATCCTTTGAGGTATTCAAGATTGCAAAGAAGGTTCCTAGGAGGGTAGGAGTAGTGAGAGAGAGAGAGAGAGAGAGAGAGATATCTGAGGTATGTGCGGTGGTGGTTCTCGTGGAAACAAGGGACCGGGCGGGACTGAAGGAAGTCAAATCAGGACTTTGAGTCTGGAGAGAGAAAGGAGACTAGAGGTAGTTCCCGTAGCGTGGATGTTGCAGGTGAAGGTACAAAGCCAACGTCGTCAGTCTGAGGGTTGGAGGTGTGGAATGTGTACGAAGTACGGCTGGGGTTTCTCTGGTTTGTCCTGGGCGGAGGAGCACAGGGAATTTTGGTTGTCGGGACAAGGGCGGAGGGGACGGGCCCAGCAGGCGGTTCAGTCTTGAGCTGTGCTTGGATGGGGGTTCACCTCAAGGCTCAGGGTCGGTGGGCGATCGCATTGGGTGCCTTTTCTCCCTGTTCCTGGCCTGACGTGTTTGTGTGGGTGGAGGGGGGAACACAGCAGCTAGGCGCGCATCGGGCAGTTGGGCATGAATATGATTGGGTCGCTGGTATCCCGGGTCAACACGGGTCACATGATGATGTGGGATCTTCTACCAATCGATAAAATCAGATAACATAGAGAGCGGGACATTCGCTGTTCACCTTGTCCCTCTGAGCCTTAGTCATGAAGCCCAGGGGCCAGCCATTTAAACAAATTGCTTTCTTTTTTCTTCTCGTCTTCCTGGCTCCAAGATGCGCTTGCTCACTTTACGCATTAATGGCCGTTGTAAGCCACTCTAACATATCCACTCATTTAAGGATGGCAGATTATGGCATGAACCAGGCCTTTCCATCCTGAGGCTTAGTGATCTCCGGGCAGATAGTCAGACCTTTGACGGATAATGCTGCAACTGTCTCTTCTTCCGAAATGCCAAAATCGGCTGGTTAACTTGTGCAACTGCAAGAGTGGCTGCACCACATGTATGATGTTGATGCTGAAGAATCTCGAGCCAATCAATGCCCTGTCTATTGCCATAGAAACGGTCCAAGACTGTGATGTCATTGGGGGAAAGAGGGACAAGACACCCTTCTTCATCCCTCCATTGTCTGCCAGCTGGCAGAAGTGGCTCTCAGCCCGGTCTGCACCAGCCACACCACCTCTGTCCAAGCAGCCTTACTTAAGCGACACATGACTGGGAACTTCATCCTTGATGCATTGCACCAGCCACATTTCATCCCACCCCACCAAACAGGGTTGACCTCTTTTCTCCTGTCTTTTCCCTCTGCCAGTGCCACCAAGCATTGAGCACTCATCGCCGTCGAAGAAGTTTCCCCAGGGTCCGTTACGAATACAGGCGGGAATATCTGGGACTCCCATATCGGAGGATCCCCCGCCAGTGCCGTGGCTTAGGTACAGCACCCTCTTCGCACCTTACGCACCGCCGCATCTCCCACCAATTCTTCAGGGTGTTCCCTACGCAGCCAACGCAGCCCGGAGCACATGAAACATTTTGCCTTTCCGGCTCCTGCCCACCTTCAAGCGTCACCTTTTGCCCGAGCCTTGCACTTGCACCCCTCGTCTCGCATTCTTGGACATCTTGTCTCTCCTCCAGAAAAAAAGTGCATGCTTCTGGACAAATCCAACTACTCCTCCAGAGCCTCGATTCAATCCTGCAATCTACGGTTATAACACACATAGATATGCTGCCCAACGCCTGGGAGCCCAACCCCTGACTGAAAATACACACGAAGGAAAGAAAGAGAGGAGCCACCCTAGCACAACCAAAGAATATCGAGAGCTTTGACACCAACAACACCGACACCGCCTTTACAACTCCGCGAGTATCTGCCACTTGGCCCTGGTCCCCGCCAATTCGACCCTGACTTGACCTCTGCATCTTCCCGCCGCTGCAATAAAATATCCGATTAACAAGGCTACCAGTTCCTGGCCTCTCCGACCGCCTCCAACTTTCATCAGCCTCGTCTTTCCCTCCAGCCAGCTTCTGCCACCTACGACTGCACGTGGCGCGCCCATCGCGGTTGCTGCGATACCACCACCACCACCACCACCAACAGACGGAGCCCCGAGCACCGCCTTGCAGACGCACCTCGATAACAAACCACCCAACGACACCTCTTTCGTTTCCATCTGCTCTTGTGCGCCCTTTCGTGCCACCAGGGCTTCTCAACTTTATAACTGCCTGCAAACAATCCGTTACTTACGTAGCTTCCACCGTCTGCCAGGATGAGCCAAATCCTCACCCCTCGGCAAGCAGAGGAGCTGTAGGTTTCCTCCTCTCCGCCCAAAGGGTGACCACGGATGCGCCATACTGACCCGATCGTGACAGGCACAAGGCCATTATCGCGTACCTCTCATCGAGCAACCTCCCCAATGCCGCAAATGCCCTCAGGGAAGAATTGCAGATTGGCGACTCTTTCGATGCTGCCACCTCGAAGAAATACGAGGGATTGCTGGAGAAGAAATGGACAAGTGTAGTACGGTTGCAGAAAAAGGTTCGTCTCGTCCCCTGGCCTCGGATGTTTGGCTTCCAGCGCCTCTGACCGATACTATTCTCGCTAGATCATGGAACTCGAGACTCGAAGTGCATCTCTTCAATCAGAACTCGATAATGCGACACCAACCTCACTATCCCGACGAAATCAAGACCCTACCAGCTGGCTGCCACGCCTCCCCGCCCGACACACCCTGCAATCCCACCGCAATCCGGTTACCTGTGTAGCATTTCACCCTGTGTTTTCGTCGCTCGCCTCAGGTTCAGAAGACTACACAATCAAGATCTGGGACTGGGAGCTGGGCGAACTCGAGAGGACGATCAAGGGGCATACAAGGGCAGTTTTGGACGTCGACTTTGGAGGCCCCCGAGGCGCTACCCTGCTCGCGTCATGCTCGAGCGATCTGACGATCAAGCTATGGGACCCCTCAGACGAGTACAAGAACATCCGGACGTTGCCCGGCCACGACCACAGCGTCAGTGCGGTCCGATTCATTCCTTCGGGGGCCGCAGGTGCCACAGGAAATCTTCTCGTGTCGGCGAGTCGCGATAAGACATTGCGGATCTGGGATGTGTCGACGGGTTACTGCGTCAAGACACTGCGAGGGCATGCGGACTGGGTACGAGACGTCTGCCCATCGCCGGATGGACGCTACCTCTTGTCAGCAGGAGACGATCAGACCGGCCGTCTCTGGGATATCAGCGGCTCAAACCCCGAAATCAAGTCAACATTGATCGGCCACGAGCACAATGTGGAATGCTGCACGCTCGCACCGCCAACGGCTTACAGTCATTTGGCATCATTGGCTGGCCTAAAGAAGGCCCCCCCCGCAACGAACACGGCTGAGTTTATGGCAACTGGCAGCCGTGACAAGGTAATCAGGTTATGGGACGCGCGTGGAAACTGCATCAAGACTCTTACGGGACACGATAACTGGGTACGCGCGCTGGTCTTCCATCCCGGCGGGAAGTACTTGCTCAGTGTATCCGACGACAGGACTCTGCGGTGCTGGGATCTGGCGCAAGAGGGCAAGTGTGTCAAAGTTCTGAACGAACTTCATAGCCATTTTGTTTCCTGTCTGCGCTGGGCTCCAGGCATTGCACGAGAGGCGGCTACCAATGGCGACGGTGCCAATGGCGCCAACGGAACACCGAGCAAAACGGCAGCGAAGCCCCAGGACGTCTCAATACGCTGCGTCATCGCAACAGGAAGTGTCGACCTGAACGTGCGCATATTCGCCAACTAAGCAGCGTCCTCACAATGAGGACATTCGACGACAGATGACATATGGCAGACGACACTACAAGACAACGTCGCGACGATTGCCGGGGCCGACTCGCGTCGCGGGGCGAAACGCATAGGATGCCGAGTCGCCTAGTGGACCGCGACGGAAGCAAATACAGGATCATGGCGTAACGATTCACACGAGAAGCATGGGCAAACCGGAGGCAGGCAGGCAGGCGTCAAAAGGGGTCAAAAGTACGGCGTACGATCTGACGATTACGTGATGCCTTCGCTGATGATATAGATTTTAGGGGAGCTTGTACATGATCGAATAGATACCCGCAACATGTCCTCGCTGGGCTTTCAAATTGGTTACTCACTGCGTTGCGTGAGGACTTTCCGACTGTTGTTTGATGTGATGCTACACCATCCACTGTATAGACACACTGCGTAGAAACAAAACTCTGTCAACGGTACCCCTGCCAATGTCATTCTCCTCGGGCACGATACCCAGGGAATAAGCATATTTGCATGGCGGATTTTGTGAGGATAGCACACGGAAAGCTGCAAACAAGGAATAATTCAGCCACTCCAGGCGCGCATTCGGTTCTAAAGAAAGAAAAGTAGAATGGGTATCCTATACGCCTCGCATAATCAAACTGTCTCGACCCAAGAGTACTGCTCCAGCTCGTCAACCACAGCCTCAGTAAACTTCTCGTAAGCTGGCGCGGCTGACTGCCCATAGCTGCCCTGAATCCACCTAATCCAATACCCTGCTCATACGGCCTTGCCCAGGGACCTAGGCATTATAAGCCTGGTGCCAATGGACTTCGGTCCTACCGCTGCGATGGTATGTAGCCAAAGGAATGCCACACTGTACTGTGTTAGTCGACAAATCCCACAATCAGTTGCACAATGTCAACCAGAAGAGAAAACATACCTTGGAACACTTATGCCTCGCATCCTTCAACGAAGAAAAGAGATAAGGTATACACCCCAAACAGCTCACAAAGCACACAATCGCAGCCAGCGAGTGCGTGAAGCCGCCCGAAGTATGCTCCACCGCCGTGACGCCGCGGGCGTGACACTCGGGACACTCGACCGGCGCCGGGTGGGGGCCCAGGGAGGGCAGCGGGGTGCCGTAGGGCTGGAAGTTTTGGGGTCCGCCTTGGAGAGGGTAGCTTTGCGGAGGGGCGTAACCTCCGTAGTTTTGGGGTGGCGGGCTATTGGGAGAAGGGCCGCCGTATTTTGGCATCGAGGTGCCGGTGGGTTGCTGGTTGATGTTTTGGTGTTGGCGTTGTTGGTATTCTGGGGGCGGGCCGGAGGCCATGTAGTTGTCTGATGGATTCGGGTCCGGTGTCGGGACGTTGGTCGGGGCCGAGGGGGCGGGGTGTTGGGTTGGTTTGTCCATTCCTGCTTGGTTCCCGATTTGTATCGTAGTGAGGAAGAGAGGTGGAGGTATACGGTAAGGCTGTTTGAAGAGAGAGACGTGGAAGGGACGTCCAGTAGAAGAAACGAGAAGCAAGTGAATAAGAGACGGGTGACGACGACGAAGGAGCAGCCAGACTGGTGGTGACTTATATCCAAACTCTGTGATGGGTGGCACTGCCTACCTCACCTCCTCCATCCGCACTGCGCCCAATGACACGAATAGAAAAGTAAAAGGGTAGGAGAGGTGCCGTAATAACCTTGTTTTCGGGCCACCAAAGGCGAGAGAGCTGTTGCCTGTGTGTAAGGTAGGTACACTCGTACCGGCGTACCCGGGGGCACCGCCATTGCTTGCTTCCTTCGCTTGTACCCCCGGTTCTTCGCGGGAAGATCAGATGGGAAGAGTAGAGGGGAAGGAGGCAAAAAGGCGCGAGTGCTGGTCCAAGTTGCCCGCTGCCGCGCATGTGCATGTGCTTGTTGTGCATGCGAGCGAAGCTGGGCCAGACGCAGGCACCGCGTAGCCCTGTTTGGATGTTCAGATGGACGCGGAGGTACACTGTAAAGTGACACCCGACACTTACACGAATCCACTCAACGGAACACGCCGTGCTGGGGCAAGATTCACATATCCCGTTGCAATTGTTACGAATGGCGAGACCGAAGAACTCCAGCCTTCTTTCTGACAGACTGGCAGGACGATGGCACGAGATGGAAACAGAGGGAGTGATTGAAAGTGGCTCTGTACAAGAGCAGAGAACACAGAGAGGACCGGGCAGTCGGGGGGTATGGACGCCGTCGGCCGGGGGTGGCCCTTGTCTGGCAATCATGCTGAGACGGGCACGAGTCCACGATGGGGAGAGAAGAGGGCGATGCTGCGGCCCTGCCAGCGTGGTGGTATGCGTAGAAATGCGAGACGAGACAGGTGCGTGCCAAGCTGGTGGGTGATATCATGGTTCTTTTGGCCTGTCTGTGGGACTGGCCTTGAGCCCAAGAGTGCTGGCAGACGGAACTGGGAGAAAGGACACTGGCGGACGAAGGAGCTTTCGCGGTGGCGATGTCATACTCGCCCGGGTCCCTTCGTTCCTTGGTGAGTTGATTGGAGATGATTGGAGCCAAGTTGTGTGTGATCATTGATGTGCAGCTCGTCGGCCTGGGCGCGGGACCGGGGGCTTTGGAGTGAGGTGGTATTCAAGTACTCAAGTACCTTTATTACCTAATTTAGCACGTGGTGGTGTGGAGTGCAGGACTCAGCCACAGTCTGGTGCGTCAGCCACGATTGCACTCGCCACACTTTGGACGATCTTTGGGCCCGTCGAGACCTTCTCTTGCATCTTCATTCTGCTATCAGACATCACTTGTGGCTTGAATATTATTACCAAGTTTCGATCAAGGGTGATTAACGCACCTTCATTATTCCACTAATCAAACTGTTTAGTGAGAAAGGTGTTGCGATAAGATAGTGGCACATAAGGTAGTTAGTCAAAATAGCCAAACCGTATAGTTAGTCAAAATAGACGGGCTCTTTGTAATAAGAGCAAGCATACCGCGCAAGCTGCTCGATCAAATTTCGGAAGGCCTTTCATAAGAACGAAAGTACGTCTATGAATTTAGTCCAATACTCAATAGCGTCAAGTTGTTTGCTCAAAATAAATCTCAAATTCATAGAACATTGTATTAGAGAGAAAGCCGTACTAGCTCATGATAATACCGAATGTCCATCATTACGTCTAATGACTGACAATCATGGAGGATTTGGGCGATGCGCTTCCTCCGTTGCAGAGTCTCCTCAGGACTCTGAAGTGTTGTGACCAGTACCTTTAGGTGCCCCTCTGCAAGAGCCATGCATGCCCCTTTCCTCAGGTTGTCCATCCCCGAATCGCGGTATATACTAGTAGGCTTGGAGTCTCTAATGATTTCCATGGCTTGGTCCCAGTCGTTTGTGCTCGCTGCCGAATCCCAGTCGTTCCACCGACATTCCCTTGCAGACGATTCCCGTTCCTTGGGAGCGAATGAGATCTCATTGAAGTCGAGTGTGGACTTCAAAAGATGATACACGCAGTCACCACTTTTTCGAGAATGTCGAAATTCTGAAGCTGCGCGTACAGGGCTCCTACCAGAAGAGTCTGCTATGAAAGGATTTCCTCCGTGTTTCATCATGAGTTCTCTGGCCCTCAAAACAGTCTCTGACACTTTGCCCTTGGTTGGGAATAATAGAAGCAAAGGCGTCTTTCCTTCCTCGTCTGGTATGTTTGGATCTGCCCCTCTTTGCAAAACAGCCTTGAAGAAGGCAATGATGTCGAAGGTCCCAAACACGGTGTCACTGAAACAGACTTTTGCCAGTATATGCAGTAGCGATCCTCTTAGCATCCCATCGGAGCCCGAAAATGGCATGAGGTCAGTATGTTTGCACAGTGCCTTGCCTAATCCATGATTAGGACTAGGTCTGCGCTCCCATCGACCCCATGGCCGTATCAATGCTTCAAAATATACCGACACTAAGGTCTCTCCGGAGGGAAACTTGGTTTGTGGATCGGCTCCTTTCTCGATTAAGAACTTGATGACGTTGCATTCTGCTTGTCCCCATGTCCAAACCGGGCTAGTCTGGAGATCATATGAAAGAAGGACCTGCAGAGGAGTTCTCGCATCAGGATAAGGTTGAGTTGGACTAGCTCCGTTGTAAAGACAGTGAAGCTGACCTTCTGAGATGTCTTCCCGACCGTTGGCTGGATTTCGAGCGAGTAGGCCATGGAAGGGGGTCATCCCTGCTAAGTTGCTCAAGTTGAGGTCGCATTTCGCGTCTATCATGGCGTAGAGTGCAGACGAGGACCGTTGCGTACTGTAGCCTCTCTTGTTTTGCACAAAGTCTAGTACAGCAAGTTGGACAGGGGTGTCCCCATTTTCGTCTTGGAGGTTGGTGTCTGCGCCAGCAGTCAGAAAATGACGAGTGAAATGCACTTTAGAGACAGCAAGATGAAGCGGAGAGCGTCCGAGCTGGCCCTTTGCGTTGACATCTGCGCCATACTTTATCAGGAGGCTGACAATATTCTCTGATGTTCCGTCCACCGCGTAGTGCAGAGGCTGGTTGCTGACGTTGTCTTCATCCTTGACACAGAATCCATCGAATAGCAATCGCTGTACCTGTTGCTCATCCTGTCCTAACACAGCAAGGTGAAGGTCCGTTCTTCGATTACTAGTGCTCTGATGAAAAACAGCATTGGCGGGCCATGCCGCGTCTGGTCCAGCGGTGTGTTCAAAAGATTGAGACACATGGTTCCCCAAGTTCAAGGAATGAGCGTCATTCATATATGACGGGCTTGCGCCGTCTGGTCCCGGCAAGAGCCCCGGAACCATCCCAGCAGGTGGACGCCTAAGTGACAGTTAAGTGTTAAGGCTCGGCGGACGACGTGTAGCAAGCAAAGACCTACCTTGGGTTAGATGAATCGGCAGCGAGAGGCAAAGCAGAAGCAGCTCTCACCCCTTTGACAGCCGAAGCTGACCCCAGACGCTTTCTTTAAGGATGCAAGTTTCGATTCGGTTTTGGAAAGCCTTCGGTGCTGTACTTCATATAGCCCCATTTCCGCATTTGCGTGCGGTACGACCTTTCACTATACCGGGAGGTCAGAGTTAATGAAACAAAAGTACGGTAAGTGCCTGCGACTCACGAAGCTTTGAAGTCATGCCGGCCTTGGATGATGCGCATCACCTCGATGAGCTTTCGATTTTCTACCTGATAAAGTTGCTGGATTTCATCGCGAAGAGGATCCCAATCTTTCGTCATTATGTGCAAATACGTGGTTGATTGACGCCCTCGATTAGTCAAAAGATGTTCCTCAATCGGGAATGAATGCTGCCGCAGTGGGCCGCGTGAGGGCTTGTGATGGATATAGACAGTGAGATGAATGATAGGGTACGGCCTAGGCCGAGGAATGAAGGTGCTCCCAAAAGCGCCACTAAGAGAATGGGGACCACGAAAATGAAGAGATCAGGCCCGAAATCCAGGTAGATCGTGTCGTGTCAAGTATTTGGGATCTGACGTGCATTGGTGAGCACATGTAGGTGGAATATTAGGCAGTGGAGAGAGGAGAGAGAAGACCCAGGGAGACTGCTGTGCGAACATGCCAAGCGCCGGCCGTAAGGCAACCAACTGAGAATGCCAGGTTGGATGCCGTCCATTAAGCCTCCTTTTCAGCGTGCTATAATATGCAATATGCAAATCTTTCAGACTGCAAAAGAACTGCGCTTGTCACTTCTGTCTTGCATTTGGTATCCGGATTCAGTCACCAATACTGTATACATGACTGCATTTTGCAGGTCTGCTCAAACGCCACATGCAAACTGCATTTTTCTCCCTGTATCATCACGTTCAATACGGCTACCAGGTCCAATGTCATTTGTGTAGCAAATCTGTCTTTTACACACTTTTTTCTTCGCAAAGCTGCAAAATGAACCCTTGCAGTCAATGCTGGGCTGCCTCGAGTGTCCCCATGTGGTCAGTATTCATCCACTGCTGAAGGAGACTTTTGCAGGTCATTCCATCGAGAATATGATCACACAGGCACAGCCAGGCTTTGTAGCGTTTAGATACCGCACGCTCATTGTTACTTTCCAGTAGCAGCTCACACATTGACTCTTACCTTCCACGCTTCGACACAAGTATTAAATGCCTTGATCCTCCCAGCAAAGATGGAGGCTGCTCCCACCCCTCAGCACTCTCTCAACTCAAGTCTTGGATGATCATCTCTTTTTGTTCCTTCACTTTGCGATTCAGAGTGCAGGTTTCATCTGCGCCGTTTAGGATCCAAGCATACCGTCTTTGCCATTTGCGGATCCAGTCAAGCCAACTGCCAAAGGGTGGGTGCGTTTAGCAAATGCCATATCATCTTGACCGACATAGGTTGAGCCTCATTCAGTCGACATCTCCTGGTTACTCGGAAGATTTTGTTTTCCAAGTTAAGCTAACGTACGTTCTCTTCTCCCTTAGGACTTCCATGGATACTTCCCGAGACAAGTCTTCCGGCTGCTCCGACCAGCATCTCACCAGGTCCTTAACATATCGATCGAAGTCTGACAAGCAGCCTCAACTGACTGAGGATGCCCTTCGCCAACACAACGAGAAAGAGAAGAAAGATGCAAACAATCTCAAGAGGGCCCAGGAAGGGCAGTCCGTAATTCTTCGAGAGCTGTATCGACTTGGAGTAGACTTAGGTGACAATTTCGTACATAAGGTCACCCCCGCCGGCGAAGGCATGGCTCCAATACAGAGACTCGTCGAAGAGCTAGGGGGTGATGCCAGCAGTGGCCAAGCCGCTTTGGTCTCACGTGAGCGCTCCGTTGGCAGTCGTGGTGCTACAAAGGTTTCCTCTTATAAGTCTGGGTAGCTTGACAGTCATATAATGTAGCGGTAGCCAGCTATCTACATAACACAAAAGCTTTGTGCTTGTCATTATATCTTAGACTTCTCATCTAGTGAAGGTACTTCAAGTAATCGTTATCAAAGTGATGAGTCCTGTTCAATAGGCTTATTAAAAAATCCGTCATAGTACGGGACAAACTTGCATGTATAGAGCATAAGGTAAGTTCACAATCGCCACGAATATTAGACCTACTCCTTACCGATAATCATAAGCTTAGTTAGATAATAGACGATTCCGGGACAGACATAATATCTTACTGCCTTATAGAGTAGTGAGTAATAGTAATAATAAATATCTTTATTACTTCATATGTCCGCACGAAACTAGAAGTTCTTTTCTCGCATGTTTCCAACACTGAGATGAACAACTTCAGTCACCCAGACGGTACAATATCCTTAGGTGATTGACAACAGCCAAACAGCAAGATATGTTCTGTGTGTTCGGATTACCCAATTGGCAAGTTGAACACTTTCAGTCATCAACCCTTTGGGTCATCATCTAAGTTACAATTAAGCAATTCGATAATATGCTACATATCATGCCTGCGCTACTAACTAGAAACCCCTACAAACATGAACTCACTCATCACGCCCCAGACCATCCCCCGAGACTAAAACGTCGGCGCAACCCTCGTCTGCTCCTGATTCGCCACCAACTCCCTCAACTTAAACGACCTCAGCGTGCTCGTCGACCGATTCCGCGGGTTATGCGCCGAAGCAGCCGTCTGCGCAGACATCCGCGCCACCCGGCCCTTCTCGTCCAGCGACAAGGCCGGCGACGCAGGCAACGACCCCGCAACACTCCTCGACTTCAGGTTAAGCCGGCTGACCATGGATTGGATCGCCGTGCTGGAATCAAGCGGCGGCGTTGCAATTGGCGTAGGCGGGAAGTGGTGAGGCATGCCGCCGCCGCCGCCGCCGCCTCCGCCGTGCCCATGATGCCCCATCATCATCATCATCATCGGCATCGCACCCTGCTGCCCGTGATGACCGTACTGGTGATGCGAAAGCGACGAGCCGGACCGCGAGCCGTCTGAGCTGGCTGTGCCGCGCTGGTTGAGGGTGATGCGGTTCATGGACTCTTCTGCCACCGACGGCGTGCGAGAGCGCGTGAAGCCTCGGATATGAAGCGCGTTTGTGGACGGGAGGCGGCCTCGGGTGGGCGAGCGACTTGAGCCGCGGCTCGAAGGAGGTGTTGTGACCCCGTTGGCGTGGAACTGCGGCTGGTTGGCGGCGACCATTTGCTCAAAGGTCATGTTGAGGGGCATCGGGGGCATTTTGCTCAGGCGGCGGATGGCGCGCATGTTCTTGTCGATGAAGGTGGACATGCGGTTCAGGGCGTTGCTGTTCTGGTGGGATTCGAATGCCGTGGCGCCATTGAGGGGTGCTTCGGTACGCACGCGGTGGCGTTCGTTGAGGTGCATTATCTGCTGTTGCTGCTGCTGCTGCACCGACGGGCTGGGGATATGAGGCGCGTTGCGGATCGTCTGCTGGATCTGCGAGAGGACATTGTCAAACACCACGGTCTCGCCCACGGCCGCGGAGGACTTGTAGGACGGCACGCCGCCGATGACGGTGCTCTGGGTGAGGATGAAGAAGGACCCGTCGCGGACGCGGCGCTTGACGAGGTCCCAGCGGGTGCGGGCTGGGTTCCGCTCGAGTTCGGGGTGGTAGATGGAGCACTGTGCCAGCTTGGAGTAGAAGACTTCGAGGCGCTTGGCCATGCGCTCGAGGGTCTGCATAAGGAACTGGCAGAGGACGATGACGCGCTGGGACTGGGACGAGGACTCGAGGTTCATGACCGTGTCGAAGGCGTCCATGCCGTGGCAGGCTTCCTCGCGTATGTCCTCGAGGAGCTCAATGTCGAGCTGGACCGACTTGTTGGCGTAGTCCATGATGCCGCGCTCCATGAGGCGGGCGGGTTCGCTGTCGCAGATGAATTGGCCGATGCGCGAGACCTCCTTGGAGGTCGTGACGGCGTCGTTGGACGTCTTTGCTCTGGCGATGATGCCGAGGATGTCGGGGAGTTTGGCATCGGATCCGACGGATGCGGCGTTGGCCATCATGAAGGAGAATTTGAGGACGAGTTCCTGGAATTTGGGTCCAAAGAGGGCAGAGAAGCCTCCTTGGAGGAGGCGGGATTGGTATTGGTAGAAGATGCGCACACCCAGCATGTTGATGAGGCTGCCCTGGAACCAGAGCTTCGACGAGCCGAGGATGTCGTCCATTTCAAATTGCTGTGAGACGAGTGTCTCGACTGTTGTTCGTAGGTACGCCGACCACATGTCGTACAGACCACTGATCTCCTCGCAGTCGTGATACTCGGGCTTGGGGGTCAGATGGCCAATGAAGTACTTTGTGAGCAGGCTGGCCACCTCCGGATTGTTCGTGTGCGCCAAATTGTCAAAGGATTTTGTGCAGTCCACGCCTGCATTCGACATCATAATTAGAGTGCCTCCCGGATGCATAGGGGAAAAGTCCGTCACGTCATAAACGCTGCCGTGGACGGCAATCCACATCCTTCCCCCAGGCCTGTGTCCCGTATGAACGGACAGCTGTGAGAGTGGGATGGTTGGTCGATTACAGGGAAGCGGTTTCGGAGTCATGAAGACGTCCAACATAATCCGCCGCTCGGCAAAGGCAGTGGTGATGATGAGATCCGTAGACTCCATGGTCGCCGTCCGATGGTTGTAAATGGCCTTGCGCAGCCCGTTCATGACGGAGTCAAAGACATCAACGGAGCCGCAGATGTACAGGTACCCTCCCAAGCCACCTTGCTTCTTGGACATGACCAAGTCACACACGCTAGCCCCTTGCTCGGCGATGAGCGAATCGATGTATCGTGGCTCAGTTCGGCGCCCAATGAGGTCCCTCATGATGGGGTCATACGCAAGACCGCGGCTATCACGAGAAAACGCGAGATGAACCTCCATCAGCCCCGCGTTGACATATTGACGGAGCTCATCCTCGTAGCAAAACTTCTCCCTGTTCTGAACACCCAGGAAAAGCATGTTCTTTCCGACCGAGCGGCCAGCACGAGCCTGCCAGAAGCTCCTAAAAGGGGCAATGCCACTGCCGCCGGCAAAGAATGCGCAAGGCGCGGCGCCATCGAGAGGTAGTTGGAAGGCGATGGGTCTGGAGATACCGACAAGCAATTCGTCTTCGTCGGCAATGAAGTCGTCTGGTGAGCCTACGGGCGGGTTGAGGTAGCCACTGCTCACCCCTGATCGTGAGATGTCAGACTTTCCGGCAAACGTGGCGCAGAGCTTGTACTCGGCCCGTGAGATTGTGAGGTCGACGGTGCTTGGGAGTAGCTCCTCGGGGTAGTTGGAGATGGAGTATGTGCGCGGGATCTCGACCGAGATGAGGTCGCTGAGCCACGCCACGTCGCTAGAGAGGTCGAATGCTTGGTCCCAGATGTGCGTCGGCGTATCCATGACAGCGGCTTGGAGAAGGTCACCTAGTGATCCGCGGACAGGCCACTCCTCTGTCGCCAGCACCTGGAGCACCGTGTTCGACGAGGCTCTCAGCATGGCATGGATCTTGAGGACGAGATCCTGGGTCAGCGGTGCCAAATGACCTCGGCGGAGGATATCCTTGACCATGAGTTTCCTTGTCTTTGTGGAGGTGCCCGCAACGCCGTGATTAGAGACTGTCTCCAAGTGTTCCGCGAATCGAGACCACTTGCGGTCAAGAAGAACGGAGCTTTCAAGCATCGTGTCCAAACCGAGCGCAGCAGCTACCTTGGCGCATTCCTCCCAGCTATTGAGTGGCATGATCGCGAGTCTGTCGCCCGGCTGGAAAGTGATGCCAGTGTTATGTAGATCAAGCGTGACCATGGAGATTGACCGATCATGGTCTGAGTCGACAAAAGATCGAGAGAGGATACGTGACTTGTACCGACACTCCTCAAAGGTTCCGCGCATCTCATGGGGTTCGACGGGAATGTTTCCGCGATAGGGCTCCAAGCGTTCCTTCATGGCGTCCGAGAATTGGCGGTGCACTTCCTCCCATGGCCTTCCTGAATCATCAAAGGCGCCAGAGGCACCATTCGTTTCCGTTCGGCCAGTCTTGGAGGCCACTTCCAGGATACCAAACACCTTGTACCTATGCGTGCCCATGAAACCTCGCTCACCCGTGTACGCCTCGATGATTCCGTCAAAGACGCCCATGAGCCGTGGGTCGCCAGACTCCCTGACGTACTCTGGAATCCGATAGTGGTACTCGACAGAGGCAATGAAAGCTCGCAAGTTGGACGGCAGCCACGCGCGTAGGTGCAAACCCTCGTTGCCGAGGAAGGAATCGTACTTCTTACGGCCAAGGAAGGCGTCCATGAGAAGATACGGCGGGAATTGAAGACCGGAAGCGGCTGGGCATCTCTTGGACAGCGGCGCGGAAAACTTGCCCCATCGTACCCACTCGGCCGCCGAGACGTAGTTGTCGCCCGAGTTGGGGTTGGTTGAGATGGAGTGGAAGGCGTTGGGCATTCTTTCGAGAATTTCTTTGAGTCTGATCATCTCCCTCAACAGGCCCTCGTTGTTTCGGTTCATGACGTGCTCCTGGCAAGCAGCGATGGCATCAGGGCCGTGTTGGAAGGATGCTGCGAGCATATCAGGTCAGTGTCTAGAGTCTCATCGTGGTGGCAGTAGAACTTACCCGAAGTGTCAGCACAGCCCTTCAAGAAAGCAATCTCGGTGCGCTCTCCAAACATGGGCCACCGAAGATCGGTATTGTCGAAGCGGCCAACATATGGGTAGACAGAAGTCGGGTCGCGCACTTTGATATTGTAGGACGCTTGGTCGAAGAAGGTAAGGTGGGGAATAGCCCGTCCCATACGTCGTGAAACCTGCCAGTAAGGCAGTCCGATAGTCCTCGGGATCCCTACGAGTTCCGGTCCGAGGTCGTTGCTCATTTCGACGCGAGGCTTGGTTGAGATCGAGTTGATGCTGACACCGTCGTACCCATCGTTCTTGTCTTCGTATCGATAGATGGAGCACAACATGCCCAGAGCCACGATAGCAGCCCAGAGTGCTTGATCTGGGACATATTCCTCGGTTCCTTCGACAAGGGGAAGAGCAGCGACCGACTCTCTGACGCGTCCTCGCGAGACACAACCGGGCATCCTCTCGCAAAGATCGGACCAGACGCGTCCAGGGCAGTTGGCGAGAGCGCCGGCAGCTTCGTTCGAGTCGGGTGCGTTGAACCCATACTCGGCGCTGAGGTATCCGTCCTTCCATCCACTTTGGGATCCTACCCCCTCGGCTCGAAGGATGACTTGTCGAGCTGGCGCACCCAATGCAACGGCTAATAGGTCTCTGTCATCCGCAACGAGTGTGTCAACGTTCTTGACTTGGGCAATGTGATCCGCCGATGGAATATCCGAGTACACGATTTCGTTGATGGCCTTTCGCTCCCTTTAATTTGTAAGTAGCCTGTCGGTGAAAGATTTGAGAAGGTCCTTACCTGGCACGCAGCCACTCATCAACGTCTACCCCCCGTGGGATCTGATGGTGTCAGTTTTGAATAAGACCCATGGTCGAGAACCCGACTTACATCAAAAGCAGCATGAAGATCGCCTTGCTGAGTATATCCTGAAAACGAACAACCTCGTGGTCCAACCCGTCGATTCGCTGTTTGCCTATGTGCACCTGCGGGACATCTTCCACCACCCATGGACCCAGACACGGGACAAGATCGCTCAGACATGATTATTAGAATAAAACACCAGGGATCTGCCTCTGGACTACAGAACCAGATTAGAATAGCAAAGCCACCTGGGCGAAAAAAGAAGGTAAAGTGCCGTCAAGGCAATATGAAGAGAAAAAAAAAGACAGACGAAAGGTAAGCAAGCAAGCAAACAAACTCCCACGAGACGTCAGCCCTAGAAGACTCGAGATCATCCGTCAACACCAAACGGGTTGACAGACGGGAGGTCATCGATATGTACCCCCAGACAGCTTGTCAGATGTCCCAAAGACAGGTTGACTTGGCCGGGGTACGTCGAGCTAGTGCCAACTTGGCGGGACTGGCCCCAAACAAGATCCATGTTGCGTGCAATGGCACCGGTAGGAGTAGACCACTGACCAATACAGCCTCACGCTAGTGAAATAACCGTATTTTGAGACGGGGATGGGGTGAGGAATTCTCGGCCGGGAATGAAGACCACTCCTGGCCGGTCTCAAGAGGCGGGAAACCACATGGTCACCGAGACAAGGGGGTGATGGCAAGTGCCGTGGAATCTGGGGATGGAAGAACTGAATAGCTAGCAACGCCACAAAACAGAGGTGTGAAGCTGAAGCCTGAGAAGCAAGTTCAGGTGGTGAGAACACACAGAGAAAGAGACGCCAATGAAGCTATTCGGGGGCTAGTCTGAACCCCGGCCAGCCCCTGTTTTGGGAGGCGATGAGACGATGCCAAGTGCCGCATAACGTTGTAGGGGCCTGTGCTGGTGGAGCCTCAACGATGGTCTGAACTACAGATGACAGGTCCGTGGCGTTTGTGGAAGACGTGCTGAAGGTGATCATAATGGTGCTCGAGTATCATCGGTGCATGTTGGGCTCAGGTGGCGGGTAGCATCGTCGAGCAACGTCTTGCTTCGCCATGCTGTTGGCACGTCTGGCTGGCGCCTTGCCTTTCTGCCAAGAGCTAGATGCACCTAATGGTCTCAATCAGGTCTCGCCCGTCCGCCGCTGAGCTCAGCGGGAAATGTTGCTGAACGGAATTCTGTCCCAAAGTCACACTAAGATTATAGACTCAATGTGAATGGTGGCCAAACTGGTGATGGCCGCGTGCATGCTTGCCGCCGTGTCCTGCCTTGGCTCTATGCGTTGTTGGGGGCCAGAGCTATACTCTGTGCTCTTCCTAGTTTGGGGGCTTGATCGTCTGGTACGGAAACTTCTGCGGGACATCATCACGTCGGATCATGGGAGTATGATCGTCAGATATTCACTCGTGACTGTCACTCGGCCTTGGATGGCGGATTGGTGCAGCACAAGCCCCGAAGGATCGCTAGGTCGAGGACTCGAGGTATGCCATGATCCATCGAGGACTTTGGCTTTCGTTTCCTTTTTGCAACTGTCCTCCGCGTTTCCGAAGTAGCCCGTCGAGCCTGTCTAGCCGGGCGTTGACGGTAGAGTTTGTCAATGGACCCCGAGGTCGCGGGAGTCAACCCCCAAATAGGCTCATGTCGCTGTTGACAGTCTTGTCTTGCGGGTCTCGTGGAACCATATTGACACGTAGTATCGCGCTGCCGTGCGGAGCGAGATCTGGCAAGGACTATATGGGTAAGCCATCGCATGTTCAGGACGGTGAAAAGGGGCAGTGCCTGTCCGATGTCGCCGTCAACTGAACCTCGATTGAAAGGATTCCTTGAAATACCAGTGGCTTGTACTAGTGTAGCACTGTAACTGTAGACTGGGGCTCATCCGAAGACAGTCGGTCTGGGTCAGAGTCCCCCCCCCACCGCAGGTTTCACGGCTGTCGATGTTTCGAGATGGTGACGTGGGCTCGAAGAAAGGAGACAGGATGAGGACTTTGGGAGGACTCGGAGGAGGGAGAAGAAAGTGACCAGGGTTGAAGACGTGGTAGGGGTGATGGAGGGATGAGGCTCCCACTTCCCGAACCTTGATTGTTTTTAGCTCTTTGGCTTTTCTTCAGCTCCTCCTTTTCTGATGAGCGGGTGGCATTTACATAATCAGATGTGATTGGCCCTCGAGATCGCCATGTCCAGGGGTTCTCGTCTCAAACCGACTTCAGAAATAGGCGCTCATTCACCTCATCATCTTGGTCGAATCGGAGATCCTGCGTGAATTGACACTGACCACAGGTAGCAAGTGACAACCCTTGGAATCTTCCCTTTGCCCTCTTGAGCTTGGTTGACGGCCGTCACAAAAGCTCACACTCTTTCTTGAGGACACGCCGCACTACCTTAGCTCTAAGATCCGTCTCCGTCAAGGACTGATTGCGTAGAAGCATCGCCCAACGACCAGGCAATCCCCTCTCATCACCATTGACACCTCTGGGCGTTTCTGGCCCTCCTTCACTGACGATCAAGCTCGCGTGTCACACCGCCAAGGAAACGCCCCAACATTAAAGTGCCGCAAGGAACTATCTTTTGAACGCCAAGTCCAGCCATCACTCGTCCATTGAAGTCTTCAAACGCTTCCTCTTCCTCTGTTTTAACGACCATGGCCTAGCGGATGAGCCTTCATCATGAGCTTGGCTCGTGCTTGACTGCTGCTTGGCTGCAACGACACCCGCGTCCCACGTCTATGCTTCCTTGCTTATCCTGTTTCCCCAAAAGCTTGGCCTCGAGTTTGCTTGTCTTTTTTTAGCTAATAGTAACTTCAATTTTGTGGTCGTGGTCCCGGCCATTGGTCATGTCGCGGGGGCCATCTCCGGGGAAAATGTCCGCACGATGCCGGTGGGATAGAGCTTGGATGACATCTGCCATGTCGACTGCATCCGTCCAGAGCGTGATCGAAGGATTAAAAATGGTTCCGAGATCAGGCTTTTTTGCATGGTCAGAGCAGCGTACTATAAGAGTTCAAATCGCCAAACTTACTATGTAAGGTGGACATTTACAGGGCAATGAATGGATCAAGTGGGCGCCGTTTTCTTCTATGGCCGAATGTAATCTAAGGTAGTGAGAGAGGGTATAATTGAACATCGCAAAGGTAACCTTCTATGTAATGAGTCTGAAGTTCAAGCTGTGGCTACGATGCTAGCATCATGTTCTACAATGCCTTCTCAATCGTGCCCATGCCCTTGTCAAACTCTGCCTGAACCGACTTCAGGTTCTTCACAGAGTCGGGCAAGACGTCGTCCCTCCACCACTCATACCATGCCATGATCTCCTCGAAATTGGCATCCTCCAGGCCAAGCCACTCACTCAACTTATCATGCCACAAGGGGAACACCTCTGTGACAATGACCTCGCCCAGGACCTTGGGCGTCAGAATATCAGACCACTGGAGCACGCCCGTGAGCATAGGCAGATATGGCTCCTGGTCGCTCGGGTCTACTCTGAAGTTCTTGCGCAGGTATCGTCCCATGGCCGGTAACACATGGCTCATGATCAAGGAGCGCCATTGGTCGCCAAGCACATCGCGCCACTGTTCCAGGCCAGGGATCACGCCGCGGTCGAAATCCCAAACGTCAACCAGCTGTCTGTACTTCCTCCGTACTTCGGCCACCAAGCCAGTACCCTTGGGCTCAAGGTGGTGCGAGGGCAGGTATTGAAGCCAGGGAAATAGCCAGAGATGAGGCAGTTTATGGCTTTGTCGCTTCTTCTTCGGGTTCCATTCCGCCACGGCTGTTTCTAACTTGCGGACGACGGCATCGAGGAACTGGGCGCGAACGAAAGGAGGCAGCAGGTCTGCCCACGCTTCCAACACAGCCAGTAGCGGTGCGGGGTTGAAAACATCCCAATCTCGGACCGCAGACATGGCTCTTGTGTACCACAACTTGTACATCATGGTTTCGTAAGGGGTTGTCGCTTTTTGATGTTGGCGGTATAGGTCGTTGCTGTGTAGACCAGTCGATTCCCACTTGTCCATAGCTTTGTTGCCCTCGCCAGGCTTCATCAGCAGACTCCCAAGACCCTTGAGCTCAGTAGCAAAACGCGTAGGCTCATCCAGTAGGTTCCATTCGGGGTCGCGGAAGAAGGGGTAGATGGCCGCCACCGCGAGGTCCGAAATTTCGTCTGTCGCTGGTCCAATATTTTGAACAGCCTTCTCCAGGCAGCGAATGACGTCCTCCCATTCCGTGGCCATCGGAAGCTCAATGGTGACAATGTTGGAAAACAGTTGCAATCTTCCCAGGTCTGAGGCGAGCTCCGCCATCTCCTGCTCTCTCTCGCGCAGTTCCAGATCTACCCAGGTCTTCCGCTCTTCCAGGTTTCTCCACTCCTCCGAGAAGGCTGCTAGATCGGCGTGTGCTCGCTTCACCAGCTTTCGCGCAGCCACCAGCTCGGGAGATTCGACAACTGCAGTAGAAGTCGGCGTCAAGAGTCCAGAGGCAGTCGTCAAAAGCTTGTTCCCGGGTCCTGTCATGTCCAGGATAGGCGCGAAAGCCTCGGGGATGTGAAGTCCTGGGGCAGACTTCTTGATCTCTTCCGCCGTCATGTACTTTGGCTTCTGTCGTTTGGGGGTGCTGACGCTGCTGCCACCTGCGCTTGCGGCCTTCTTCTTTCTTTCTCGCTTTCTTTTCCTCTCCTCTTCCTCCGAGTCGACTACCTCCTCACCCCGGAGTTTCGCTTGTCGTTTCTCTTCCTTCCTCTCGTGCTCTGATTTTTCCTTGACTGCACCGAGACCGACACCCTGTGGTCTAAGATGGGCCTCGATAACGACACTTCGACCTTGTCCCTCTTTTCCGAGACCTGTTCCTTCTTTGTAACCCATCTTGGCCATCATCCGCGCTCCGAAAGATTTTGGGTTGGGCTTTGCGTTCGCTCCCTTTCCGCCAAATGCGCTTGGGCGGGCCATCTTTGGCATCGAAGGGGTGTCTTGAATGTCGGGGTTCAGAACCGGCACGTTCGCAGATGATGGGACGAAGCCGCGACCGAGAATATTCTTGCCGTCGAATTTTGTCTTCGTGAAAGATCGCGCCGGGGCGCTAGGTGCCTTTGTGTCCTCGTCGCTCTCGTTATCGTTCTGCGCTGGCTGAAATCCTAGACCACCGCGGGCTCCGCCGAATCCAAGACCAACCCCTCCCACATCATCCTCGTCGTCTTCATCGTCATCAGCACTGGAACCGTCCGAGTACTCCTTCGTATTGGTGTCCTTCGCGTCGTCATCGTCATCTTCGTCGAGTGTGGTTGTGCCAGTGGAAACGAAGTTCATGCCCTTGCTGCGGAGCGTCTTTTTCTTCCATCGCTTCCCAGGACCGTCATCTTCGCTATCTGACGCAAAAATTCCAAGCGCGGCGCCTTCCTTCGTGTTGCCAACGCGACGGCGCTTTCGTGGGTTCAAGTCGCTGTAATCATCGGCTTGCGACGGGTCTGCCACGGGGGCTAGGTAGTCGTCTTCGTCTTCGTCCTCCGATTCCGAAGAGTAGTGGGCAGCCGCCTTCTTCGTCAAACGAGACGGATCGAAAGTTGGAAAGCTGGCCATGCTGTTAGCCAGGCTCAAAGCGGCGCAAAGAAGTGAGCGTACGTGAAAGATGACGCGTCGCTACTTTTTTGGAGGAACTGCATCATTCAAGGCACCGACTCCGAGCTTCAGGCGGGTCCTTTTCTTATCTTATCGGCACGTGATATCCACTCTCAGTCAGACATCTCCGACGCAATGAGGCCAATCTTCACTACTCACTCTTGTTCAATAACCAGATTTGATCTTTTGTTTTCATTGTACCTTACTGGTTTTAGTTTATCTTATTCGGAATCTCCAAGATTTCGTAATTTCCGACTTCAAGGGCAGTAGGGCAGATTCACTCAAGCCACTCCTCGAGTCCTATTCGACTTGAAACGTTCAACTTTTGAGTATCCTAACCCGATTCTTGGACTTGAATTTTTCCCATCCTGCAAAGGTGAAATTATCTGTGTCTCATAATTATCTATTCGATTCTTGTAGACATGGTAACCCTAGTCGGCTTATCCAAATCTTCCATCTCTCTATTTACCCTAATCCTCTCTGCTGAACCCGAGTAAAGGCTACAGCAGGAATCGATTGATCATCGTCCTACAAGTCTACAGGTCTACAAGTCACGAATACCCGCAGCCAAACTCTCCTTCAACGGGGTCCAGCCCTGTCCAAAGTACTCCTGCAACAACTTCTCAGCCTTGGCCGCCGGAGGAAGCTCGCTGATATCACGTCCCTCATTCGCCTGCTTCTCCGGAATCAGCTTGTTATCCGGTCTCAGCTCACGGAAGACGTCGATGAAGTCGGATGCGTTGACTGGGTGTGCGGAGGCCCAGATTCTTTGGGATTTGACGGGCTCGGCGAGCAGGGCGATGGCGTGGAGACGCGCGACATCGGCTACGTCGACGTACCACTCTGTAGAAGCTGTTAGCCCGGCATCCGTATTTGTGTGACCACTTGAAGTTAGGGGAGACTTACGGGGCATAAAGGAGTTGAGCATGTCGCCTTGTCCCTTGAGCAAATCTCGCGCAAATCCCATGGTTGAGCCACCGATATTGGGGTGGAGGATTTCTCCGGTCTAAGAACAAAGTTAGCGTCATCAGCGCAGTGTGGACGAGCATGACACTTACGTTAAAGTTGGGTAGGATGGTATTGAATGAGTATCCGGGCTTGTTCTCTTCAATCCACTTCCACGCAGCTCTCTCGCCCTCAGCTTTGGAGGCAGAGTAAATCGCGCCAGGCTTCATCTCCTTGGGCGTGTTCGGGTCCCACGCTGCCTTGATGGCAAAGTCGTTCCAGGTACCTAGAGGTATCAGTCAGCATCAAGGGAAGACAGATTTCCATTCTTTCGGACACATACTTTCGTCAATGTGCATCTCCTTGTTCGGCTGGGGAAGGACGGCGGCAAAAGCCGAAGATGTAAGAACGAAACGCTTGATGCTCGAGTGCTTTGCCGCGGCGGAGAGGGCAGTCTCAGTCGCCTCGACAACCCAGGGAATGACGGCCTTGGGGTCGTCACTCATTGAGATATCGGATGCCTAAGACTCGTGGATCAGCTTTTGAGCTCCTTTTGAGCCTTCGTCTCTCTCGGTAGTCCTTACCACGTGTGCTACACCGTCAACACCAGCCATGGCCTTGCCGAGAGCCTCCTCATCCTCGAGGTTGGGAACAAGGACTAGTTCAAAGGCATCCTTGTCATACTTGTTGTGGAAGAACTCGCTGAGCCACGGCTTCTCTGATCGAACTGTGCCGCGCACTCGGTAACCGAGCCCAAGGAGGACATTGATCGTGTGAGATCCGATGTATCCATTTGCTCCAGTGACAAGGATAAGAGAGCCCTTGGGAAGAGCGGTAAGCCCAGACATGATGATCGACCACGTTCGAGATAGGTGTTTGAGGGCAGATAAGAGACGAGATATCTAGGTAGGTTTGTATGCTTGAGATGCCTTGAGGTTGAATTGACCAAAGGACTGTGCACATATATATTCATCCAATGTTGTAAACACCGACGGGTTTAAATCTAATGCAGGCGGAGGACCGTGGAGAGCATGTGGGAAGTGCTCCATTACTAACATTCACAGATTCCACTAGAAGTGGATTCTGCTTAGAAAACAACGACCCCTCCCTCGAGCGGTGTCTAGAATGCAACCAAAGATGCAGATGTGGACGCCAAATCGACGCTTTGATAATGACGTATGCATGACCGCCCCATCTAAAGCTCCTGGTGCGCGGTAGCCTAAGCCTTCTTTGTCACTTTGACTATCGCCAACTAACAATTACCTTTGTATTGAACGAAAGCGAGGGAAGGCGAGGAGGCCTATCCCCACGGATTTGCAATATCTCTAGGCGTCAGACTAGATAAGGTTGATGGTTGGGGTGGTTGGGTGGCTGTCTGTAGGTTGAGTGTTGGTTTGTGGCTTACGAATCGTGCATGCACCTCGAAGCATGTTTCCTAAATTGGCTTCGTTGCTGACATGTAGTTGATGGTTAGAAATCCCATGACTGAGAGTAAGTGAAAGCCTCAAAATGGCCAGCTTAATAATGCAAAGTTGCAGCGACTATCAGGTCGTATCGAGGGTATCATGACCAGTCTTCAATGCTGGTGAAGACATCAAGGGGTGAAATAGTCAAATTATTGAGTATGAGCATTTTCTTTAAGCCGGATGACCATGAGTGACATCCCGCGAACTACTTGATTGTCGTTCGATGAGCTAACTCACGCTACGTAGTGGCTCCCGCGCACTTACAACCGACCCCACATTGAATTCCCCGAGAAAGAATTGTAGACCACAGCTTGCCTGCGCTCAGTTGCTTAAGTCTACCAGTGTTGTCAATTTGATAAACTCGCCTTGGTAGTTACTAAAAAGCTGAGAGCTTTTGGAGGCGGTTGTGATACAATATTTGCTGTCAACTGTTCTAATAATGTTTGAAGAAACTCTGATTGAAGTCCTCAACATGAGTCTACTGTGTATCTCTCTCACAGCTGAAGGCTTTGCAACATCCAATCGTCAAAGAGAAAACCAGCGAATCACGATATTTGCAAGTGGGTTGGTTACCTGAGGTCGAGAACCGCGCAATATTGGTGAATTGCACTTTCCAAGGCTTTTGCCTGACATGGAGTCCGTCAAATAATAAATTACCAAGTTTTCTATACTATCGAATTGGAATAGACGTGAAGCAGATTGTCTGCGGTACTCAAGCTTGATACTTGCCTACTGTCTGCCTGTGATGAAATGACACTTACGTCTCCTTGTCCCCTTGTGAGATTAGGTAGCCGATGGGCATGGTTCTCTGGCATAACAGGACATCTCTTGGTTCGGAAAATACCATTATCAAGTGACCAGATAGTACTGAATTCTACTCATCTCCGTATGCACCAGAAAGCTCAACTGCCGTGAGGCGTCTGGTGACTCTGGTTGCTCACGAGACTTTGAGATAGCCAGGCATAGCCATGGAAATTGAACCGTGCAACTCTGCTCAAGAATTAAATCATGTCAGTTCCCGAATGAGAACCTCTAGTGGTCAAAGATCGGGCATGGATCTGTGCTCAGCGGACTCAATCGCATTTGTAACGATCTCACGTGCTTCAGGCGAGGGAACGACAACCGCCCTCCAACGGCTAGATGGAAGGGTCGCTTGGACCACCTACGTTGGGGAATGCCAGGCGGGCAACAAGCAGCAGGAGGGTCAAGGTTGCTTGGGGAAGTTGGGGGGAAACACGTCTCGGGGCCATCGGCTGACAACGTGGGAAGGATTCTGCAGGGAGGGCTAGCAACGTGGCAGGCCGGGGGTTGCAGAAGAACGATGGCGGACCAGCCGTTACCCTGGATCCTCAGCATTCTGATGTGATGTGTGAGAGCCCAGAAGGCTCAATGATTGGATTTGATAAGGTACGGTATGTGAAAAGGATGGAATGTGAACATAGTAACATTCCTGGATGTATTGGGATGTAGAAAGAGCTCACGTGCTATTTAGGCAATGGAGCACATGACAGAATGGATGAAATCTTCCAGGTTGATCTCATATTCGCGGACAGGGTGACGGAGGAGGGGATGAGGAGTTGAGGTGACATGAGATGAACAAGGCCAGCCCCTGACTATCGATAAAATAGTGAAGCGAGAAGGGAGACGAATGAGAAACAGTGACGGATTTCTTCTTTTTTTCATCCCTTGATCCCCCTTTTCTCATAAGAAAACAATTGAGGGTCTGATGTGCTTCGACTCGAGACTGAGGAAAGACAGAGTTGACACTGTTAGTAGACTCGTACCTGGTACAAATACCCAGATCCACCTTCCAGAAGTGTAGCGGGACAGGACGGCGAAAATCGCATGCGAGGAACTTCCGATAAGTACCTCGAGAGAGAATGAGGGGGACGAGACTTGGTCTGCTATCAGCGACGCAGAAATTGGGCATCTGGGACAAATCCCATGCCATGGAACCAGGCAATTCCTTATCGGAGATCATCTTCAGTCCTGCACTAGAGACTTTAGGTGTGTTTCGGTTCGATTCGATTCAACAAAAAAACCCTGGCCTAGCACACAAAAACCCAACACACAGAAAACGAAACAAGAGAAAAGAGAAGAGTCACTATGAGGGTAAGAGGGCAGGGAGGGCTGCCGGATCACCAATTGAGTCATACAGTCACACATGTACACATGCACATGTGCGCGGCTCTTGCATCTCGTTCTCCAGTTTCCCCCCTCAGCCAGGCCCCAGGGTGAGAGTCCAGAGGGATACAGAGGGCAATAGAGGGGCATCTCAGGCCTGGCCCTGTCCGGCATCACATCATGCTGATGAACCTCTAATAGACAGAGTTGCGGGTAGGACCCTTGCCCTCATGGCTCCTCTCCACAGTCCAAGTCCTTGGGCTGGATTAGGCGAAAATCCATCCCACTGTGGGCAACCAAGACGAAGAAGGCCACAATTCGAGATGGCCCTCGTGGTCATGTAGGCGACGAGAATCGCAACGATGTTGTACAGTGAGGTAAGGCAGTGACTCGGCCGGTGCCCACGACGCCCTGGAGCTTTCTTTGGGAGCACCGAGGGCAGTTTTTACCATTGCTTTTATCGCTGGTATCTGCGATCGGAATAAAGCAATCAGTTCAGGCCTCGGTCTTTCAGAAAAGGCCCCGGAACCTGAATGAGGCGGCGCCATCATCGCTTTGAGTGCTCGCCTTTAGCTTAGCGAGTTTCCTTGTCTCGCATTGCGCAAGTACCCGGACATGGATTTGACTGAACAGAGTCCTTCTTGGGTCCATCGCCAGCTTGCTTTGGGATCTTCTTATCTTGTCAACATGTACGGGCGAGGATACGGATAGGTAGAGACGCTGAATGTAGGTGGGTGTCTGACCGGACTGACCTCATCAGACATGAATGAACCCTGCTTCGCTTTGCTTCTGCTTCGCCTCTTGGCCTCCGAGAGACAGCGGGCAGCCGGCAGCAAGTTTGGTAGCAGGCGGGAAGCAAGACAACCCAATCTGGGCCCGAATCTGGCCCAAGCTGGAAGCATGACGACTCGTGTGAATGATAATGAGTCTTGCGAGACAATAGGTAGTGAGCGAGTATAGCTCATGACGGTGAATGTGATAAGATACTTTACCTTGATTTTACATTGCATTTTACCGCAATGGAAAACGCTGAATGAGATGAAAATGCACCTTAAGTGACAGCAAGAAAGTCAGCGAAGTGACATTGGAAAGTACCCGTACCACAAGGAAAACACGGAATACGCAGTACGTACCCCCCGTGACATTTGTTCAGTGTTTCCGTCAGGTTCTTCGACCCCAGAGCTCCGAGGGCCCCAAGACGCGCACCCGCACCGCACCGGCGCACACACACACAAACAGAGCCAAACATCCGCAGCCGCAGCCGCAGCCGCACGTCAGCAGCAAAACAACCGCTGCCAGCTGGATTCGCAACACATTATCTGAGGTGCTGTGGTACGGATACCTACGGATACTTGGTTGGATTTGGCTACGAGTACCTACCTACTCCGTCCCTGGACCGTCCTTTCTTTCACCAGGGCACCCGCCGTCCATCCCACCTCTCCCACCCTCCTCCACTGCACTGCGGCCTGCCCACCCACGTTACCCAAGCCAAAGAACCAGAACCAACCTGGGAACTCCGACGACCGACCCCCCGACTCAAAGTCCCTGGAGCCAGCGATTCTATTGGGCAAAGGGCGCGTTTACCTTACCTAACCTTACCTCAAACCCGCCGCTGCGCAATCCAATCTCGACGACGTCCGGGGGCCCATCTCACCCTCACCACGCATTCTCTCCAAAAACCACCACACACCCTTCTCTCCCAACATCGAGAAGGAGAGAAAGTCAGAAAGAGAGACATACGGAGAGAGAGAGAGAGAGAAAGAGCCCACGCGACCACATTCGAGCGTCCGATATCCGACGACAGACGACAGACGGCTCCGGCTTCAGCCCGTCCCTCCCATCGCTAGTTATCCTTGCACGAGGCTTAGAGCGCCCTCTGTACAACAGCAACAACCTACCTTTTCCCACTTTTGTACGTACCCTGGTCCTTCGCCCAGTCTCTTCCCCCAGGACTCGTTGCCTCGCTGCCTCGCTGCTCCCTACTGGTTCTTGGTGCTTCCTGGTAGTTCATCTACCTTGGAAGAGCACGCGCGTTGCAAGCTGGATTGACAGAGAATCCCCTCAGTTGCCATCGTTTTGCGGCTGTTTTGTCGTCGAGGATTGCATCGTCAATTTTCCCTCATCTTCCCCCCCCCCCCCCCCTCTATTATCAATCAGCTCCTCTTTTCTGGGCCCGATGCGCCGGCCCCTCTACTCCGCCGGCGACAACATCTGCAGACCTCACCACCACCACCACCAAGCCCTCCTTTTCTTGCTTTGCCCTCGCTTGTCGACCAAGGCCTTCTAGCCATTCTCTTTGCTGACCGTGCCTCTTCGCTCAGCCGCCAAGTCCTTCAAGCGACCGATACCCCCCCCCCAAAACCGTCCTTCGCATGCGTTGAGCCTACAGTATAGAGAAAACGACTAGGCATTTACTACCTCGCTAAGACTCGATTTCTGCGACCGACATACGCCCCTTGTCTATCCCACTAGGATAACGAATTTCGCATGCTCAATCAACGGATTGCTGCTCAATTGATTGTTTTATCGCTCTTTGTCCATCGTCGCCGCGACTCGTCCGGCGCCGTGACATAAACAACCCACAAATACCGCCAACATGTTCTGGAGATTTGGCGGTTACGCCAACATATCCACCATCGACACTATCCTCGAGAAGCCCGAATTCACCGTCGAAGACCTCCTCGACGAGAGCGACCTGATCCAAGAGCTCAAGCAGCACAACACGAAGCTTATCGAATACCTCCGCGAGGATAATGTCCTCAAGACACTGCTCGAATATGTCGTCGCCCCCAAACTAGAGCCTGTCGCGACCCCAGAACCAGATGAACCCGCCGAGGCGATCAAGGGCAAGGGCCGCCTCCTTCCCTTCTCAAGACCTCGCGCCTCGTCCCGCGCCACCGATACCGACAATGAGGAGGAAGAGCAAGAGAAGAAGCGCAATCGCTATGCCTACGTTGCTGCTGAGGTCTTGTCATCTGACACGTGGTCCATCTACGAGGCTATGATGGAGAACCAAGAGCTAGTCCGGGAATTTTGGCAGTTTCTGAAGCGCCCGACGCCTCTTGATCCTCTTCAAGCCAGTTACTTTACGAAAGTCAACGAGGCATTGTTCGACAAGAAGACGGAGGAGATGGTTATCCTTCTCAAATCTCTCCCCGAGGCCGTGCCCGACTTGCTCCGCCATGTCGAGTGCCCTATGATTATGGATCTGCTTCTGAAGATCATTGCTCTAGATCGCACAGAGGGCGGCCAGGGTGTTGTAGAGGTGCGTACGGCCCAGTAGCCATCCCCTCCCTCCGCACAATGTTGAGAGCTAATCGTACCCCTTCTCGCAGTGGCTGTACGGCCAAGATGTTGTGCCGACTCTGCTATCCTGCCTCAGCCCAGAGCATAGTTGGGTTGTCCAGACGGCTGCAGGCGACTTCATCAAGGCCATTATTACCATCTCGGCCAACGCATCGCAAAACGAGCAGCAATGCATCGGCCCGAACGAACTCACTCGCCAGCTGGTGTCGCAACCCTGTGTGGAACAGCTGATCAAATACATGTTAGGAGGTGGAAACCCGCTGACCGTGGGTGTCGGTATCATCATCGAAGTCATCAGGAAGAATAACTCGGATTACGATCCTGATGTTGGCACCGAAGCCAACTCTGTTCCCTCGAGCCGAGACCCCATCTATCTAGGAACCCTCCTCCGCTTGTTCGCGCAACACATCCCCGATTTTGTCAACCTGATCATGAACACTCCGGTGCAAAAGGGACCGCTGGAATCGACCTTTGGCGAAAAGATAGAGCCTCTTGGCTTCGACCGATTCAAGACGTGCGAGTTGATGGCCGAACTGCTTCACTGCAGTAACATGGGCCTACTCAACGAAGTTGGTTCCGAGGACGTGATTGCATCTCGAGATGCTGAGCGTCAGCGCTTAAGAACGGAGGGTAAGCTTACCCCAAACCGTGGAGAAGAACCGCCATTATCTACGGATGACTTGACGATGCGCATCGGTCGTTCTTCTCCCGAGGAGGGACGTCGTTTAGAGGTAACCAATATCTCAGACGATGACGGATTCGAAGAGGTTGAGCCCAGCCGCGAAATGAACGAGGACACGTCCCACGAGTTCGTAAAGGCAGAAGAAGAGATTCCTGTCGCTGCACCAGCCTCGTCCTTCCTGGACAGAGATGAAGACGACTTTGTGGACGAGCCGCTTAGCTCGCCCAGACTCAACGTCGCAGATGACAAAATCAAGGAACAACGATTTGATGACCCCGATCTGGTTGTCGCTCCTCTTTCGCCGAGCAAGCCAAAGACTGCCTCCATCGACGAGACGACTGCTGCAACGGATTCTGAATCCAAATCCGACCTGGAGCAGAACTCCGAGACTGTTGACGTCAAGATTGAAGAACCGGCTGCAAAAGAGTCGGAGTCCGTGGAGAGCGAGAGAATTTCCGGCCCAGACGACCTGGCTGACAAGATCTCGGATGATGCTACCATCAACAAGGTAGAAGAGCTTTCGCTTGACGAGAAGGCTGATCAAACTGCTGTTCCTGAAGACAACCAGAAGGGCGACGAGTCCGACTCTTCTGTTGTTTACACACCTAGCGCCACCGATTCGGAGGCAAAGACAGAGCCAGCAGAGGCCGCGCCGACTGTGCCTGAACCTCCCCAGCACCCCGAAGACATGCCAGCACCCTTGTTCTCCAAGTCCACATCTGATCCTGATACGAAGGCGGATAAGGAGGATGCAGCTAAGGAGGCTGAATCCGAAGTTGAGCCAGCTCCGGAAGCTCCCATGGCTTCTCCGGTTCCCGAGGTGCCACAAGCCCCCATGGCTCCAGGAATTGACGACGACGCGACAAAGGAGGCTGGAGACGTGCCACCTGCTGTCCCCGATCGGCCCGACCCGAACAGCGTGAAGCCCGTCGTTGGCGACTACCTCAAGGTGCAATTTGTCGAATATCGTGTTGTGCCTACGATCCTGGTGAGTTCATCGTGACGTTGCGCCACCGACCCCAGCTAATCAGAGCATAGTCCTTCTTCTTTGCCTACCCGTGGAACAACTTTCTCCATAACGTGGTATATGATATCGTTCAGCAGGTTTTTAACGGGCCTATGGACAGAGGCTACAACCCTACCTTGGCGGTTTCGCTGTTCGAGGCTGCGGATATTACGACGGCTATCATCAAGGGCCAACTCGCTAGTGACGAGTCACAGGCCAGGATGAAGACTCGCATGGGTTACATGGGACATCTCACTCTCATCGCTGAAGAGGTGGTGAAGTTTACGGAACGTCACCCTCCTGAACTCTTGTCTGAGACTGTCCTTGAACGGGTTATGGACCCGCGATGGATTAGCTACGTCGAAGGCGCCCTCGCTGAGACTCGCGAGCGAGACAATGCCATTCTCGGCGGAGTCCGCCCCGAGGTGGCTATGGGCAACCGGGCCGGCATGTCTGGCAACGGGCTGGCAGCAGTCGGTCTCTCTGGCCTAGGATCATCATTCTCCAACTCCCAGAGTAACA